ATTTTGCATCGCATTCCGACTCACAGAAAATATTCCTCGTTTTTTCCCTTCTTTGTCTTTGCGCCGCCAATCTCGATTGCGATATATGGACGAGCGGAGAGAGCGGAATGCAATCCTTTCATTTAGTCTCTGCAGGCAAGTGGGTCAGTGAGTTGGAAAAAAGGGTTAAACTCGTTGCATTCATCCAGTAGCGTGCATCGTGCTTTTTATCCTCGCAGTTGCACCGTTGAATACGAGGAAAGTAATCAGATGTAATGGCTTACTTGTGCTTTCACGATTCGTGAAGTCTGCACAGTTTCAAATCTAGTGTATTATTTATGTACGACCTTTGGCATCGCTTCTGCTGCTGCTGCATTGTTGGGGAATGAGCGAAATAACATTTTAAAGGTCGTGATACAAAGAGTAGTGAAAAAGAATAGCGTAATAAAAGATTTGAAAGGTTCAGCAGCCATCACAAAATGTACAGCTTTGTGCAACGGAAAAAAGTGTTTTATGTCATCGAAATTAAAATAAAAAAGTTCTTCAGGTCAAGTACATGATATGTTACGTCGTGTAGAATAAAAAGTAAGAAAATTAGTTGGAAAAATCTCCAAATGTATGAAATGGTCATTTTTGGAGAGATTTTAAGTTATATTTTAGAAGTTAAATAAAATTTGGCCCATTAATGGATAATAATAATTTTATCATGTTTTAATATTAATGATGGCACTTGAACCAAGATAAAAAAAAAAACTGAAAAAAATCAGCTAATTAATTTACTGTTTTTAGCAACATTTGTTGAGACGATTATGCATACAACACAGTAATGAAATTGTAAAAAAAAAAAATGAGAAAAAAAATAAGGACAAACCATCTCAAAAGTCATAATTCTTAAAATCAAAAAGTTTTTATATTTCAGCTTAATATGTTATGAGCCCAAATGACACAGTTGGCAAATATTCGTTTTGAGATTTGCGAGCGCGAATTAGAAAAAAAAATCCGCCGCTCGCTCGTTATCAAACTTGCATAAGAGTTTAATTTACAAACTCGTGCGCTTCATATATCGTGCCACGGCTCAAAAGGTGAAGTTTGTTTGAGGCATAATTGCTGGCTGGATTACCAACAAAACCAAACTCAACAGTCGACGGGAGGCCTCTCTCTGTGTTTATAGCAGTTAAACAAACGTACGCCGCCTTTGAAGGTGCACAAAGAAAAGTTTGCAACTCGCGGTGGGCGGGCGGGCGGGCTCGACTGCGAAATCAGATAAAACACGGCTTTACTAACTGGAAACGTGGCGGAATTATTTATTCCGCAATTATGCACACGCGGAAAACGCATCCCCTGAACGAAAAGGGGTTGGTTAGGCGGCGACCGTTTTTAATATTGCGCGGGTTGCCTACGTTGCAGGCGAGCGGAGTGGGCGAAAGAGCTGTAAAGCAGCCGGCAATTGCTGCCAGATAAGCATTATTATTTTATGCGCACCAGCCTAGCTAGGCTTTGTGTATCCGTACACGTGTGTGTATGTATGCGTGCGTGTAATATTAATGGTCCGCATGCCGCGCGCGCGCTTGAAAATTGCGTTTCGCTTGGTGACCTTAAATTACGACTATCTAAACAACCTCCCTCCTTGCAACCCCGACCCACCCCGCGAACATATAAATCATGCAAATTGCGCGTGAGATTTTTGTGCATCGCCGTTAAACATTCCATATGATAAAAAACGCTAATAATTTAATATAAAATGTTATACCTGAAAGTAGTGTTTTCTTGTAATTTCATAACACAGTTTTTTTTTTTTACAAACAATATTTAATAATAAATATAAAACTACATAATTAAATTTTATATTTATTAAAAGAAATAGGATATTAATTTATTAAAATAAATTTTTTATTTTTTTTTTATTTAATACTATTAGTTGATTGTATCTGCATTGAAGGCAAGTTTGTGGTCAAATTTTAAACAAAAAACGAAAATTTGTCATTAAATTTTTTTATAAAACTTGCTGAGAATGCAATAAATTCATATTATGATAAATTTATATTATATGTTGAGCTGCAGTCCATTCACTTGAAATTTTTTGTTGGTGTAAAATGAGATGTGAAAGAAGACGGAAAAAATTAACAGAGAAAAACAAAATTACGAAGTATTTTACTTAAATGCAATATTTCCCTTGATTATTTACAGAGTCCTTAAAAATGCAATGAAACTGTGCTACTCGATTTGTTATTTTCATCCTGTTGCTTGACGACTGATTGAAATTAATGGTGCGCTCATTATGGAGAAGAAATTCTCTTCCAATTACAGATTACAGATAAAATGTTATACAGCAATTATCAAAGAATAGACGTAACTCATTTTTTAACCGTTCTGATTTTATCAAATTATTTCAAAATACTTCAAATAGGCCGAAAATCACCAAAATCTAATTTTATATTTAATTTCATTAGAACGTTTTTAAATGAAGTGTAAAAAATAAGGAAACACAGTAGATTCAAGACCGGTTTTCGCGATTTTTTTATTTCATTTTTGTGTTGAGATAAAATCACTGTTAAAATGTTATTTTGAACCGTTTGCTATACTTTCTGTTAATTTCAACGCGTGACTTTCTGGAAGTTCGTGTCATTATAGTCGAATTAGAGCGGCGGTGCAAGAAGCAGTCACGTGGATGACGTGCTCACACATTAGCAAATCAAAAGGATGGCACGCGCTCGCGAGAGTCGGGGAACGCCGGTGCCGCCGCAATTAGGGGGTAAAACAAACCAGGTGGATATAATTAGGCGTGTTCGAGGCGGATCAGATGCGAAAGGTGATGAATGAGCGAGCGAGGGGTCCGTCGAGAGCTCGAACGTCGCCCGCCCGCCCTGCCAGCGATATCGATCGAGCACCAGGCGCAGGGTTCAACCGAGAGGGATGAAAGAGGCGCGTGGTGCTCGACGGGAGCGGGGAGACTGCTGGGGCTGCCCGAATTATTGCACAATCACTGAATGACCGTCGCGAATACAAACAAAAACAAGAGGCGCCTCCGCCGCACACTTGCAAATTTCTCCCTTTTGTGCGCCATTCTCTCTTCCACCCTGCTTGTTTTATTTTGTGGCACCACATTAATATTTCATGTTTATTATGCCAGGGCAGGATGCATAAAATAATGATGTTTCCACTGCGAGAGAAGAAACTGGCGAGACAATAAAACCGATGCTAATGAGGTTTACAACTCGCAATTTGCGGCTCTGCTCGGGTCACGCACGCGGCGCAGAATTCTCAGGGTCGCGAGAGAGTGAAAGTGATGCGCTCTTGCTCGCAGAGGGGTGCAAATTATCCCTGGGGCTTATAATTTATAATCAAGACTTACGTTTAATATAGGAGAAAGGCGCCATATGAGCAAGATTTCACATTGAATCTTTTATGTGCCGGCCAAAGCTTGAAGAAGAGGAAATTATTCATAGTTCCTTTGGTCGATAATGACTTGTAAACAGCCCCCTGCGAACTAATTCTGTACACAACAAGGCTTATTATGTGTTTTTCGTTATTCGATTAATCTTACTTAATTTATCAATTCGCAAGCGTGGGGTTTCATTTGATCCCCATTTTTTTTTTTAATGAATTATCCGCAATTATCATTAAAAAGAGAGAGCATTAGGTTTTTTTATTAATTCTGAAAAGAGACTTATAAAAAATTTAAAAAAAGAACTAAATTTTATTTTTTAATTTAAAAAAAATTGAGCCATAATTTTTTACAGATGAATATGATTTGGTGGTTAAGCGGGTGCCTAGTTAAAAGCCATTAAAATTAATTTTTGGCTGTAATTTAAAAAATCCAAATCTCACCAAACTCCCAAACCTATACGTCAAGGCTCAACCAACAATAATTTATATCAGACAAAAAATTTTCATCTCTTCAATAATATATATAATCTTATTTGTCATTATTCATTTTTTCTTTCAGGTTAATTTTTATTACCAACAAAAGAGCCTCACCGACTGTGAGATTTGAGAGCAGGGCGCATTATTTTTTTACATCATTTGTCATGTGTGTATATTTTTGCCGAGACGACATTTTGCAGCAAACATTTATTCCTTTTATTTGAGACATCTTATTCTCCCTCACTAAACTTTAGGGTCTTCTCCTGAGAGCTGCAAAATTTATTTCTGCAGATACATTTTCAAGCGCACACCATGCTCTCGTTCATAAACAATAGCACTGTCAAGTTGAAGGAGGTAAAGTGGAGGACGACACATGAGCAAACGGGCCACCGGAGAATAGTGTCTCTTGGTATAATTTGTGGTTCCATTGGACCTAAACCGCTATTGTCTATATTATTTGAATCTGAATTATACACAAATTGAGAAACTTCCGAACTTGCATGGCCCACCTTCAAATTACATTGGATTAAAAAATTGTCTAAGTTTTGGAACGACAAAAAAGGAAAATTACTATTTACTTATAATGACATAATGAAAAATAGCATAATTAAAATTATCTTGCGCAGTTTTTGTCATGATTAATTGTATATTTGTAACATTTAAAAAATTATTATTCTCAAATTCAAAAATTTATTCAAACAAATTAAAATTTAATTATTAAATTTTAACATTTGAATTAAATTTTTGCAACTGGAAATATCTTTTCCAAATATTTAATTTTCGAAATTTGAATACTGTTGAAGTCCCCTTTTTGTTATGCAACCTGCAACGTCAGCAAAACAATCCTGTGTTTTTCGTTGCATATATAAGCCATTTTGCCGGTGAGAATTTAATTATTCCCAAAACATTATTGAATTTAATTGAATCCAATGAGTGAGCTCCAGATTTAATTTCATATTTTCGTGATATAGGTTCTGCTAGATTTAAATTTACTGTTTAAAAATTTGACTGCATATTTGTAGCCTCTCCGGTCCAACATTAAAGAAATCTCATTTCAAGTTCATAAATAACAAACCGTGAAAATCGTGGCCAATTGAAAAACCCAAAGATAGTGAGATCAGAGATCGAATAGTGGACAAAATACGAGAAATACTCACAAATTGGCTGTTGTTTGTGTCGGTTCAGTGGCTGGTTTGTGTTCAGTTCAGCAATGCAGCCCTGCCTACCCGTCTTGGCGCACCCCTGGTAGTTAGGCAGTGCTGCCAGCACCGAGCAAACTACCCCGCGACTTCCATCTGCCGCTCATGCAGGAAAGTATAACGAAAATCGATGAAATCGGTTCCCACTCTGATTGAAGGCAGCTAGTCATTTTTCATTTTTGTGATGGTGAATTGATATAAAAAGATCATTTTTTTCTGCTATACTTAATCGTTTTATTTACCCTTCATTGCTTCCTGCCTAAATATACTGTACTCATTTATCACGAAATTTATATATTATAATTTTCTCGTTACATCATATTTCATAGATTAAAATACTATTATATTCTCTTACAGCATTTTCTCTTGGAAGTTCTAAAAATTCAATTTGGCTTTCCATTAAAACATAAAATCTAATTATATCACTATGGTCATGCATTTTTTACATCAACAGATAAAATTAAAAAAGGAACTGAAACACAGCATGGTCTAGTAAAATAGAACAGTAACGAAAGCGAATGGACAGAGGTGAGGTTTATAGACACAAGACTAGCCGTGACACATAAAGATTGTGTACTGAATTTTTGTATGTTGTAAACATGTTAAATGCTAATTCGACCTACGTAGATTATAAATTTTTGCCGTTCGACTAATGTGAGTGTGACACCCGTGCGTAAGAATTTTAAATAAGTTTGTCTGTTAGTTAGTTTAAGATAGATGATTCTCAAAGTGTTGAGTGAAAAGATCACTGGAGCCTGCAGGGAATGTTACTTTGCACATAGGACAGACACGAGAGGAGCTACCATCACCAGGGGTAACGTCACCAGACCTGCGAATTGTTTGGCAATCTTTGTTAAACGTGTTCCAGCTTTTTGTGACGGCTGGATGTAAAAACGTGAAAATGAAATCATAACAGTAGCACTGGGTGCAGAAAATAACATCAAAAATGGAAAATCCGAGGCGTATTTTGGAAACTTACAAAGCGTTTTCTTTGCTCGAGCTGCTCCTCTTTCCAGCAGATTTTGAAAGCTTCTTTTCAACCTTACACTTTTCAACATAAACCTTCTTGTACTCCTCGGCTCCTTGGTCCAGACGAATCCGCAGGTCTGCAACCTGTTCCTCCAATTTGGTGATTTTCACAGTGGAATTCTAAATTTAAAAAAAAAAAATATATAATAACAATAAATTAGCAACATTTTGCTAATTATCCTCCCAAAAATTAGAAGCGTTAAATAATTTAATTTAAGTGAAGAAAATTGTATAATTTAAAAAATACTTCCAGGGTTGCAACGCTTAGAAAGCACTGAGCCCAGTGGAGTTTGGCGCTGAAGAAGAAACTCATTTTTTTTGCTGTCTCCATTTCCATGAACGGTGCAAAACCCTGACACTGTTCTTATTTTTTTTTTTTTAATTGGTACTTTCAACTTGTCACTTAAATTAAATTACAGCTCCATAATAATTTTATTTTAATTTACCGAGCAGTGATTGCACAACTGCAGGGAGTGTGGCTCAGGGTCTGTCAGTTTCTGACTTAGCTTCAACACCTGGTTGACCAGGTCAGTCTCTCGCTTCTGAAGGTCTCCATAGGCGGCCTTCAGGTCCCTGTACTTTTCGTCCGTCAGATGCAACTGCTGCTCCAGATTGCTGCGGTGCTCCCTGAGCAAATCAACGTCCTGCTGCACTCGCTCGGCGTTCAGCAGGGATGTGCGAAGTGTGGTCAACTCATTCAGCAAATGCAACTCTCTCTCTGTGGCATTTTTAGTTTGAAGTCTCAACTAAAAATTTTAACAATTAATCCCATGAGAATCATTTAACTTAAAAATTACATTTTCAGTCAGTTTTTCTTTTTCTTTCTGCAAATTCTGGCACTCCTGGGTGAAAAGAGAAATTTTCTGCTCCATTTCAGCCAATATATGGTTCTTTTCTTGAAGCTCCTGGGACATTTCATCTCCTCGACGGACATTTTCTCGCAGTAGTCCAGCCATGCGAGTTTTGTCCTTTAAATTTACATTCTTTAAAAAGCCGTATTTAAAAACTCAATTAAATCTTACAGCGCTCAAAGTTTCAACCGTGGCGGTCAGAGCATCAATATTCTGCTTGGAAATTCGCAGATCATTACAGGTGGAGTTCCGAGACTCGTCCAGAGACTTTATTTCCGACTGCAGCTTCATCACGTGCCTTTCCCTCTGTTTAGATGATTCCAAAATTTGCAGCAAACTCTGAAATTAAAAATTTTCAATAATGAAAGAAAAAATTGTAAAATAACAAACATTTTTCTCGGCTATTTCTGCTTCGGTTGTTGCCTTCATGTTTGAAATTTCCTCACGAGCCTTGTCAAGTTCTCTCTTGACTTTGGCCAACTCGTCAGCGAGTTTCACCTTCTCGAGTTGGGCGTCCGAATGGTTCTCCTGCAACTTGCGCAGTTTGTCCTCGACGACGGCAGTCCGGCTGCGCACGACGACCATGCTGTCGTCCATCAAATGCATGCAGAGCTCAGCCTCATGCGACCTGCGGAACTGGAATGGCACACTGGCGCCGCAAACAGACCCGTCCACGTTCACATAGCACAACTGGTAGAACTCCTGCTCGTCTTTGGGAAGTGCGTCTGCTCGGAAAATAACAATTCCTCCCTGCTTCGATTGGACCTAGAATCATGGAAAATTAACATTTTTATCATTTTTTAAAGGAGAATTTTTATTTGTGTTATCAAAGAAGGAAACTAAGAACAAATTTAAAACTAAATGTGTATTTAAAAATTATCGTTAATATTGTTTTATTTGAAAGTTTATAAAAAGAAGAAAATATCTTAATCATTTGTGAAGTGATTGATTTGAAACACATTTTATGGTTTCTTAATCTGAACAGTAAGACTTTATGGCACGTCTGCGTCATGTGAACTGTGCCACGGTTTATTATCTGTGCAAAAAAAGAGAACAATATGCTATCAAGTGTTTATATTTGCAATTTGCGGAATAATAACGCAAACAATCGCTACCTTAACGCAGTGCGACTGCAAAAAAATCCTCGAAGGAAAATTGCATAACAAATTATAATTAATTCTTACATCGGGCGAGAGGGCAGGGTGCTTGAGGATTGCCTCATCCGTGTTTGTCCATCCGATCTTGAAGAGCGCAATGTAGTCGCCCTCCTCCACCTCAAGGTCCGAGTTGAGCGAATACCTGCAGCAAACGTCCGCGTCCGTCGGGTAACTGTCCAGAATGTCCTGGAAGACAACCTGAAATGTTTGCAAAAATATAATAAATTATTGGTCCTTTTCGAGGAGTGAGTCATTAAATAAAAATTAAAGTTTCATATTTTTCGTACCATGGCGTACTGGGAGGTCGATAGGGCCTTGTGGTCGCTCTCGAGACACACCGACCCGTGCTCGAAGTCCATGTAACTGACGCTGCCCATGAAGTCCGTCCCTTGGCCGTGGTGCGAAGACAGGACGAAAATGTCGTCCGAGTCGTCCGGATTGGCGACCGTCGTCGTCGAGTTGCTTTCTTGGTTTTGCAGCGCCGAATTCGACGTCGGCGGACTTTCAGTTTCGACGGGATTGTCCGCCAAGTCCTCGGCAGTCAGGAGGACACTCCATTGCGGATCCATTGTCTTGCGGAAATCACAGTTTGCCTATTTTGTTTTGCACCACCAGCTGCGATTGTTTATTTGCGTAATGGATATTGGATTTGTGATTGGATTGCGGCACAGAACAGAGTGATTAAATAATGCTTATTCTACACGGCAGGAGGCAGCGCACTTCACGGGCGCCCGGCGCACTTTACGCGACTCCCAACTGGAGGTTTAGGTTTACTCTGGTTTACTCGCTTCTATACAGGTCGCGTTACGGGCGTAAAATATTTGAAACTTAGGAGGGAACACGGCATGGTAGAAATTAAAAATATTATTATAAAATTTTTTTTCAATTTTTTTTATTGAAATGGTTGAAAGTATGTATTTTATTAAAATTTTCTATTGTTTAAGAACTCCTTATTGACATAGTCAAATCAAGTCTTTACAACAATAGAAGCCATTTTGGGCAATTATTGGGAAAATAACAAACCATTGTTGTAAAGACTTGATTTGACTATGTCAATAAGGAGTCCTTAACTTAAGTTTTATAAAAATCTAATAATAAAATTATTTCAGGATCACGAGCGTTGAAAGTCAATTATATATCAAATAATCATAATAACAACATTTATTTTCAATTTATTTGAAGAATTTAACTTATTACTTGAGGAGAAGATCATGGAAATGAAAAAGTCTTCCTCATTTACAACGTGGAAAAGCCCGAGTCCTTTATTTTTCCATTTATTTTCATTATATTTGCAAATAAAATATAAATAAATTATCAATTATAATTTGTAAATTTTAATTTGCAGTGTATATTTCTTTAACAATATGTACAGAAATGATTAAAAAAAAGTCGTAAACAAATTATTGATAATTTTCAATCCATATCTTAGGTTAGAAATTTGAATTATTTTTTTCCAAAGAATGGTTTTATATTATAATAAAAAAAATCGGCATTTATTGGTTGATGCCGTTTGCTCTATATTATATAAATATTGAGTGGAAAATTTTTTAACATGTAAATGTAAGAAACAGCAAATCCTGAACTTATAATTTACCTAAATTACGTTTTTCAATAGCCCTAAAAATTTATTTACTTGTAATTATAAATTCGTTTCAAATATTTGATCTCGCTGGCCACTAGCGTGGTCCCTGGAATTTTTAAAGTACTTCCTATACTTCAATGAATTTAATCATAAAATAACAATATTTATATATGGAAATAAAACCTTCATATATAAATAATTCACAGCAAAATTAGCCGAGAAAAATCTATCTGATTGTTGGCGAAAAATGGCAAGCGGTGGAGAAGTGTCTGGCACCCTGCTACACCCAAAGATTTTTAATTTAACCCTTTTCTATTTCCCATCCAACAGTGTTGATAACCTAAGGGGAAGGGGGTTGCCGACTTCAGGAGGCAGCGTTGAGTGGGGAGCGCCCGAAGGAGAGGTTGACGCGAGCTCACTGCTAGCTCGGGCCCTGGTGCTCCGATCGGGACGGGGTTTGCACCAACAGGACCGGCCCTCGCCCAGGGTGCCGTATCTGAGGGTTCACTGGCAAGAAGAAGCGGGCCCGAAGGTCACCCTCCTCCACCTCAAGGTCCGAGTTGAGCGAATACCTGCAGCAAACGTCCGCGTCCGTCGGGTAACTGTCCAGAATGTCCTGAAAGACAACCTGAAGTGTTTGCAATATAGCTATAATAGAAATTATTGGTCCTTTTTGAGGAGTGAGTCATTAAATAAATATCAGTTTCATATATTTTTCGTACCATGGCGTACTGGGAGGTTGATAGGGCCTTGTGGTCGCTCTCGAGACAGACCGACCCGTGCTCGAAGTCCATGTAACTGACGCTGCCCAGGAAATCCGTCCCTTGGCCGTGGTGCGAAGGAAGACAGGACGAAAATGTCGTCCGAGTCGTCCGGATTTTGGCGACCGTCGTCGTCGAGTTGCTTTTCTTGGTTTTGCAGCGCCGAATTCGACGTCGGCGGACGTTCAGTTTCGACGGGATTATTGCGGAGAAAAAAGTCTCAGTAGAGTGGGGAGACCATAATGTTTAGCTGAAAGGTCGGCAGATGGCACTCCGGCACGAGTGGTACAAGGTGCAATGAAAAATGGAAATCGGCCGGCGCGAAGATAACTGTGCGTCAAGAACTTTTTCGTCCTTGAATGGTCCTCAGCAGTGTCATTCTCGCCCTACGCTGACCAGCAACCGATGGTCCGACATAAACCTACGCGCAGGCAGGTATATCGAACGTTTCTCCCGTTTCTCCTAAGGAGAGTAAAAGATAGAGGAGATGCGGAACCTAGGAGACCAGCGCGGACCAGTTTAACAATAGGAAGGTTCCTCCTCTCCGCGCCTCCTCTACCTTTCACTCTCCTTAGTTTCTCCTCGCCTTACACGCATGAGCTCAATGAGTACCTGTGCATCACCAACCCTCGCAAAAAACATGAGCTGCAGCTTCCTTCCTCACACTCCTCACCCTCTTCTGTTCTCACTGAGGTCAAGGGTAACCTGATCGAGGCCATCCAGAATGGTGAGATCTCTGTAGTTGTGCATGCAGTCGCGTCTGACATGGGTCGCAGTCACGGATTTGCTGCAAAACTGGATCGAGTCCAGCAGACCCTTCAACCTTTCCTCCGCAACAATTTCGTCACCCGGGAGCCGGGAACCATCGTGCAGCAGTGGGATAATATATAACCGCACAAAGACCCTATCCTCCATCTCAACACTAAATTTTGCTCCTCATTGTCAGACAGACTTTCAATGAACCCAAATCAATTTCTTTCTAACTTGCATGCCTTTCACTAGCTCTTTGCATGACTTCTGTGTGGCAAAAAACATCATATTCCATTTTGCAATGCCAAAAATATTTAACGTACAATAAAAAATAAAAAAATTAAACACAATAATATTTGCGACCAGTAAATTAAATTTTGTTTATTTTGTATAAAAAATTTTTTTTATTGTTGGGGTTAACAAATAAAATAATAATTTTTTGTATTTCATTTTTTTTTTTATTCATCAATGAAAAAATATTACTTTATTCACACGAACCAGAAATGAATTAGAAGTACCCCCAAATTTCTTGTTAAAATATATTTTAGAAGCCTTTTTCCTTAAAATCTGTGGATCGTTCTTGTCACAAAGTCTTGACCGTACATAAATTTTAATTCTTCTTTAGTCAGTCATATTGTGTTAAACAAAAGTAATAAATGGTCCATGATTATATTGAAATACAAAAATCTACTAAACAGTCGTCTGCAAAAGGATTCTCTGATATTGTGTACAATGCTCCTATTTACCAGCAAAAGTAATATCTCCATTCGACAAATAATCATTAAAAGCAATAAATTAAATAAATTAAAATGCGCAAAAAAATTCCTAACGGAGTGATTTTTTTAACAGAAGCACCAATGAACAAGCAGCGAACGCCCGCCTTCTTATTTCAAGTGAAATTCACAAATCAAATGCTTCAGTAATAAAAGAGAGATTGAGAATTCTCCTTAACAACTAAAAACAGAGAAATGATGTGCGCGTCTTTTCGATGTATATGACCATGTATCACCCCAGTGTTCCGAATATCTACTCAAAAATCAAGAAAACGTAAATTTCATAAGTCTGGAGAAAAAAAACATTTTGAGCTAACAATTTGAAAGATAAATGACAAATATGGGTCTGCTTGACTTTCTGATTTGAACCATGTTTAAAGAGGATCCAGATTGATATTACATACGAGAAAAAATGCACTAACCAATTTTAGACAGTTAAATTTGATCACATTTCCTTAAAAGCGTCAGTCTTTCATAGAGCTACTGATCGACATTCAAAGTGTTATTCTTGATTATGGCACGACCATAAACCCAAGACAATGCATCGTTAGGCTTATAGAGCAAGTCGCTGTCTCCATTCCTAGAAATGAAACATTGTTAATAACCCAACTATAAATTTAAATATTATTTTACTCTTTTTCTGTGCCAAGGAGCAAATTGTCTTTTCCATTGCTGCTACGCACTTTGCCGCAGATGTAGTCAATGAAGTCTTCATATTCCTTTATTTCCTTTGGTGCACTGAACGTAGATTTGACCTTCTCCTCTTCTACCATCTTTCGAACATATTCTAAAATGTTTTAAAAGTAAATTTTCTGCATAATTATATTAAACGATAAATTGCATACCAGCAACGGCTTTCTTCTTTTCCTTGTGAAGTATGGATCGGCTCAGTCTCGAATTTGGTGAAGCTTTTCCAGATTTTGTTCCACAGTACAACCCCGACAGCCCAAATATTCCAACACTATATACTTAAATAAGTGCGTCCTGGTCGGTGCGCAGCTTGACGCCATCAATAGTTTCCTTCCTCTCCTTCAGCAGTTGAACTTCCTCAAAAAAGTGGACGTACTCTTTCTTATCGTCAGGGATATTCTGAGGGGCTTCCTGGCGAAGTCTGGCTAAGACTCTTTTTGCCAAAAAGGAGCGAACCTTGCACTGTATTTTCGTAGCGGCTGCACACTGTCGTAAGGCCATATCCTTTTTCAGCTTCACCAAACGTTTTTGGGCTGCGTGGCGTCTCCAGGCACATTGTATTTTTAATGCCCTTTTGTTCTGATTCCGAGCATATACTTCCAACTGCAGAAGAATTTGCAGTGCCAAAAGGAAGCGCCAAGCGAAGTGAATGGCTTCTTTGGGAACTTGTTCTCTCCTTTCCTTCTGGACCAAGTTTGAAGCCTGTGTGTCTTCCTTGCAGACCAATTCACTTTTGTCGTCATCGTCTTCAGAAATTGTGGCAGAAATAGTAGGCACACACTCGACTGTTAGATCAGGGCCGACCTTTAAATAGAAAGAGAATATTTAATTATGCTAAATTAATAGCTTCGGGAGCACTGCTTTTTTTCAACAAAATTAATAGTTTTTAAGTTTTTTAGGACCAAATCACTTCCTTGAATGTACTCGTAATGCTTTAAGTTATAGTGTGAAGCAGCTTGGTCAAGAAATGATCTGTTAATTGATATCATTACGTAAAGTCGCACACCTAATGTGGTGTACCTTCAATAAATTCATTCATTAGTTTTCTTAAACAACAAATTTCAGTTTTTACTATTGCTCACCTTAATCTTCTTCATTTCCGACAATTCACTCCTCAACTGCCTGAGCTGGCTTTTGTATTCAGAGTGCTCTTCAAGAACTCTGGCTTGCTCGTTCTGGGCGGTCATGAGCTCCTTCTGCATGTTGGCCAACTTCCTCTCATAATCATCCTTGAATCTCTTGATGCGTTCACCTTCCTCACTATCCGAATCCAAATCAAATAATTGCATCAATAATGACAACGAGGTTCCGAAAATTAGCAAACCTTGCTGTGAGGGTCTCAATGTCTTCTTTCTCCTTCTGTGTCATTATGAGCTTGATGTTTTCCTGCTTGCAATCGGCCAGCTCTTTTTGCAGCCGCTGTACTTCTTGCTCCGGATGGCGTAGTTCCTGTGCATTGTTTACTTTGTTTTTGGAAACTCTGTTTTTAATGTGTCGAGCTCTGTCTGCGTATGTGAGAGTGCCCAAGGTTTCCTGGAAATCTTTAGCCGTTGGTGAAACGCAGGCAATCATAACCTGTAATTGAAAATAATAATAAATAAAAAATAAAAAAACCTTAAATGATCAAATTATTACCGTTTTGGAATTTCCACCGAGCGATTCTTCCAACATCCTGTTAAGCTTCGAGTTCCTGTAGGGGACATGCGTGGCCCTCTTTTTCTTGTCTCCCAGAGCAGAAATGACGTGTCCCAGGGCCAAAAGACTTAAGTTAATAGAAATAATGCCTTCTTTTGCCCTTTTTCCAGTGGCATCGGTGTGGTGCAATCGTTCAGAGCCTGCCAGGTCCACGAATTGTAACTTAGAGCTGAGAGGCTCGAAGTCGCCGGTGACTCCATCCACATTGTCTCCACAAGGTCCTTCAGAAACCGAACGTCGCTGCCGAATTAGCATACTAAAAATTACATGGGACGATCTGGAAAATGTTAAAATATAATTTAATAACTGTTTTTTTATAGCTTTTAATTTTGTTGTATTACCTCGATGACTGATGATTCATCTGCTGTGTTTCATCGCCAGTAGACCTGCTAAGAGCGCCATATTTGAGGCAGCTCAATGCTTCCTCCTCTCTGACTTTACAGACGTCCGTGTGACACCGTCAAGCGAGATTCTGTCATGTTGATCACTAAAATTCGGAACTTCTTGGGCTCCTGAAACAAAAATTTTCAATTATGTTTTCTAAATGAAAATCTTTTAAATTTTCTTACTTTTATAGAATTTTCAGGCTCCAGCAGGTCATAGAGGTTTTCGTTGTACAGTTCAATGAACTATACCTCAACACTAAACTCCGGAACTTGAGCTTCTCTCGCCTGTTCCTGCCGAAGCTTCATGCTGTTAAAGATGTGTCGTATTGCTCTCGGGAGCATGCCCATGTCTTTTAGGCTAGTTCTAGTGGACAGCTCCCAGTCTGTGCCCATGATGTAGGTCTTGCCGCTTCCAGTCTGAAAATGTAATAGGTCGGAAATAATTTCACAAATTCTTGGGGTTAATTCTTCATGGTTAAAGGCAAATTGTAAAAATTTAGTGCTTCGATCAATTTAAAAATTGAAATAAAATATTTATTACTGTTTCTTAGTTTTGAAGTATTTATATTTAAATAATTAAAATTAAGTAATATTTTGCAAAAAAAAAAAAAAAACATTATAAATTTTGTGCGATGCGATTTCAAAATCTCATTTTGTTACCTGTCCATAGGCGAGAACCGTAGCGTTGAAGCCCTCGAGGGCGCTCTCGACAAGCTGGGCAACATATTTCCTCATACAAGATGCTCTGCGCATGGTGTGTGTCAAAAGTGTGGTCATATTTAAAATTTTTCCCCTTGCCCAGCTGCACCTGCGGCTCCTCCGGAGAGATTTTCGTGCACACTTCAATGTTGTTGGTCACCTCTCGAGCGCTTAGAGGTCGGATTCTGCAAGAATCGCAAAACACGCCTTGTACAAGTCCTGGGAGCAGATATTAACCTACTGTATCGTTCGACGACGCAGTGTAAAGTAGGCAACACGCGTCACTTCGAAGGTGCGCGTGACGCATAATTGCTTTAAAAATAGTAAATGAAAATTGCAGTGACATTTTATGTATTAAACCTTGAAATTTTCTATTAATAAATTGTCCACGTTGGTTAGATCAAAATTTGTTGAAAATAATTCAGCCTGTAAAATCAGCTGCGATACTATTTGATCTCAAACATTTCTCATGCTTTTTTTTGAGCTCCCCCAACACTAAGACTTTCAATTGAGGAAACTCGTAGTAATTACTAAAGAAAAAATAATTAAATTTTAATATGAATTCCAAAACGAGTTTTTGGAGTCTGTAGCTACTCTCCTCAAAAACTTAGAAGTAACTATTCTATGCTGTGAATGATGATTATGCAAAACCATCCATCAAGTAATAATTTATCCTTGTACATTCTTTGGAACTGAAGATGTTGGTCTACACTCAAAATTGAAATTAATTGTGCTTCCTTCAGTTTAATTTGGGGTAATAAAAAACAAAGCCTTTCGCAAAACTGAAATCATCAGTGCAAAAAACCATAGTGGTGAAAATTTGTGAAAATATCCACAAAAACTCAGCCATTCAAAAAACTTTACTATAGAATTTAGAGAAAAAAATGGTTTGATAACAATACAATTGATCTATCGCAAGCAGATCTCAAGCGCACAGGAGCACACGAAATCTCACTTTATAATTCTCGTCATTGAAATATCAGTGAGACAAAAAATTTGTATGTTGTATAATTGCTTATTGGGAGACACACACTTCTCAATTTATTCTACTTTATCTGATCTTGAGTGATTCAAACATAGGTGAAATAAACAAAGAAGTCAAAGTAATGTTGAATAATAATTATTAGTATCGATTACTTTGATGCTTAATAAAATATAAATATGGTACCATTTTTAAAGCAAGTATGCATCACGCGCATATTCGAAGTGCCACGTGTTGCCTACTTTACACTGTGTCGTCGAACGTAATCGTCGTCGTCCAAGTAATTTAAGGTTCAATATAAGTAACCTTTATTTCACTTCCGGTTTATTTTGATGATTTCGATCTGCGCAAATAATGAAATTTGTCCCGACTGCCAAAAATTTGTTTGCCGGCATTCCGATTGTAAGATCGAATCCTCATGTGAACGTTTCCAAGCAGCCTAGCGAGATTGCATTTTTTGGTTTATTTGTGTTTCACGCTGTTGCTGAATGGAGAAAACGCCGAGTGAGAAGCAAAAATCCCACACAGGTCCGACAGTCCGTGTGTCTGTCGACTGGATGCTCATTCAGAGTCTATGCTAGACGTCCACGATCGGTTCGCGGGGCGAAATTTCTCTTGTCGCACGGCTCTAGTTCGCTAGAGTTGAATCGAGTTCTATACTCTGGCGAAAAATATGTTGCTTGCGTTCTCTTCATAAAAAAATTAAGAAAATGAAAGCTTATGAAGATACTTTTTATTTTAATTTTAATAAATCCGTCAGTTCTGAAATAAGTTTAATGAACTTTTTGAAGAAAAATTTAGATTTAATGTTAAGTAAATTTATTGATAAATATTATTAAAAAAAATTTAAATAATTTTTTTTTTTTTTTTTTTGTAACAAATTATTTCAATTTTATAGAACAAGACGAAATTAGTTTAAAAGACAAATTTTTTCGTTTTCAATATGCTCATAATTTTATTCTTAATTAAATTTGTGTCTCTTTTTAAAGTTAATTTAAAAGTTAAATATAAATTGTTTAATTATTTAAAAATGTAAACGAAAAAGCTTATATATTTTTTAAAATCTTAAAATAATTGTTACTCTCAAGATTTTCAGATGATCGCCTATTGTCAAGAAGAAATAAGCTCCACTATTTATTAAAATTTCTAGAAAATAAAAAGAGCGTAAAAGAGCGCTTTTTTTCTACTCTCTCTGAAAAAAGCTCGCGCTCTCCAGGTCAAAAAAATTAATTAGCGCAATTGAGAGCTCCAAACAGATAAAAATCTGTATATAAAATCATTTTAAAAATTTGGCGAATATTAATTTTCATCTTTCATAACTGGACTCATTGTGATAGATGGGGTCTTTTTTGTCGGAAGTTTTAGCAAATTTCTATGCAGGTAATTTTGAAATGCAAAAAATGCACTCGCTCGGCAAAGTATCTCGCAAGCCATCCAGCATTCCCGGCATTCCCGAAAGCTGGAAAGATAAACGAGAATAGACAAGTCTGTTCGTTGTCGAAATTAACCGTGCCGATACGAGTGACAAGGAGCAAAATGCTTAATATAAGCAATATTCTTCAAAAGCGTGGCCCCGTGACTTTGCCAGCTTCATTTTCGGTTTTCCCGATCGCAATTCGACGCTAAAATCTTAATAATCCATAATCGGAAAATATGTAATTTGAAAATAGAATTAGACTGACCTCACAGCCACTCGTACAGGTGCGTCCTCGACCTCAGCCATCTCGAGGGGTGTCTGGGCGAGCGTCGGCTCCGCCGGCTCCATCAAAAAATGTTCCAGTCGCAAAAATCAAACACGCGGCGAATGAAAAGAACGTGCGTGCGTCTGGCCTCTGGCCTGCGACATCCAATCCAACCTGCCTCACTTGCTATCTTTCGCCGTCTGCGTCTGGCCTGGCCCGCGCCTGCCCTGCACCGACTGACGATGATGATCTTGTAGGATGACGACTGAACCACGTGACTGAAGTTAGCGATACAGGCTTATTGGTCCCATAAAGGTATAATACCTTTATGATTGGTCCCAACCCAATGTGCTTCCCACCGCTAGGTGGTAAGGTGGTGAATGAATGTCGCTTTTTGTAGTGCTGCTCCAGCAGTACATATTGTAAGCAAACGCGTTTAATAAAAGAATTATTATTAGCTGGACAGACATGGTTTTACAGAATATTAGATTTAATGCTGTTTGTTTTCTGATAAAATTGGCGGAGCTCGGAGCTTTAACATTTTGTGATTTTCTTTGTAATTGAAAATTAAATTCAGTTGAATGCTTTTGTGTTTCCCATCGCTAGGTGGTATATGAATGTTCCGCAAAACTTAATAAAACATCATTTAATTATTCAATTTTACACGTTTTCAATTTTTATTTTCTTTTCATTCATTTTCCTCCATTGAAACTTTAAAAATTATACAACTTTTTTAATACAGTTACATATTATAAAGCATAGCATGGCTCCAGGTTCAAAGAGACTCAACAAATTATACAAATTCACAAAACGCTCAATAATTAGACATAATTATTATTTAGACAATGGATTGTGATATCGTTCTTTTTTTCCGACAGTGTGGGTTTACCGCGGCGGCCGTGTCTCTTTTGATTTCGGGCGTTTTAGCAGACATCTGCTAGTTGTAAACCCTTTCTTCTCTTTTTTCCAGTTTAAAATTTTTGTATTGACCGAGAAGAATAAATAATAATAATAAGGATTTTGCTTGTACAGGAGTATACAGTTCTTTATGAACTACGTGTTTTGTATTCTCACTAAATCTTCTCATTTTAAATGAGAAAAACTACAGATAAATTCAGATGCCGACTCCTAAAAAAGGGACACAGTGATTGGCAGCAGATATATTTAAGTCACAACAACCGCACCAATTAAACAAAGTAAGCTGCCAGTTGGGCCATTTTGTCCTTGGGCTTGCCCTTTCCTCGGCCCTTACCTCCACGGCCACGGCCCCTTCCCCTGGCCGCCCTGCCTCCAGGGGCCATCCGGCTGGGTCGATTGATTGCACGGTGCTTCTCAACCAAGGTTGAGAAATGAGGAGAGCAGAAGACGCAGCCTGTCAACTCAGTAGCCTCGTTTGGCAACTTGGTTTTTTCCTTTGAAGACACAAAAAAAAGTTAATTTTACATTTACTAGGAATATTTAAGCCTGACCTCTTTATAGCTGACAGACATGAGCTGGGCACCACATTCACAAGTTCCATCGTCCACAATCACCTTGTGAGCGTCGTCAAATATGTGAATAATAACGTCGCATCTGATAAATTTTGCGATAAAATTTTATATTTTACCAAAGGATGTGTAAAATATACCTATTGCAGCTCAGCTTCCACTTTGGGCCAGTGGCTGGGTCCAAAACAAGAACTCCACCATCACACTCTACGCACGAAGAGACTCCGTTGCTGTTCAAGCTGTGGGGGCAACTTGGGTGAGTGCAGGCATTGCACCCACTGCCCTTTTTCATATCCCTTAATAGGAAAATGAGCATTTTAAAGCAACTTTTTTTTCTTCAACAGTTACCTGAATGGTGGGTGGTTGTAACAGTATGGACACAGAGGGTAGCTCTTGCCTTTGTTTCCGGCAGACCACGAGAGAAGCTCAAATTCATCCAGCGGACACTTGAGCTCCTTGTAGATTCTAACTATGCCGTTTTGTGGCAGACTGTACGTCTCGTCGCAATGCGAGCAATGGAGGCGAGCTGGTTTGGCTTGCACGTACTTCATATACCTCCTGCATTTTCCGCACCTGATACAAAAATTATTGTTTATTTATTCTTATTCTGAAGTCACTGCACAAATTTACAGCAAGTCAATAATTGGACATCAATAATAATTTAAATTTATGCAAAAAATTTGTTTCATGCAAATTTTTTCCTACCTTGAAAGGGCTTTTCCAGACATAGCAAGAGGCGAGAACGAAACTTCAAACAACTGGTCCATGCCCTCAATATTCTTGACAAAGAATAGGAATTTCTGCTTGAAGATCTCAAGCGAGTGCTGCAGAACTGCATGCATGCTAGCCTTTCCATGAGCAATCAGGGTCAGTTGCTCCTCAAGGGCTGATCTCATCGTGGGCAGCACCAGCTCAGGATCAATCTACAATTTTAATTTTCAAAAATTACAAGAATAAGCATGAAAATTACTTAAACTTCATTACATTTTGATATCCGTGGACGAGAACAATGCCGAGAGGAGTCGGCACTAGACGACGACCTGAGCCCACAGTAACATAATTTCTCTGGCAGACGTTATTAATGTGAACGGGAATAGAGGCATCGGTGCCAATGCCGTGCTTTTCCATTAAGGTGATCAGTTCAGATTCAGTTAAGTAGTCTGGTGGGCATGTCTGACACTCTTGCAATTTGGCCTGAATTAAACAAAATAATAAAAATTCCAGATATATAGCTAATTGTAAATTTGAATACCTCTTGTATTTCAACTACTTCACCATCACTGAAAGGGGGCACAGTTTCATTTTTACTGAAGGATTGCCAATGCATGACTCCTGTAAAGCCTGGATCAAGAAGGGTTTTCCCTGTACATTTGAACACCTCCTTTCCTACTTCAAATTTGGCAGTAGTGCTTAAGTATGTACAATCTCGTGACACCTGAAAATTTAAATGTTTAGTGCACATGCAATTTAATTATAATGAATAGAAAAAGTACCGTAGCAATGAAATGACGAGTAATGTAGTCATAGAGCCGCCATGCATCACCATCCAGTTCGTTTCGACTTGCTGGCTGCATGGGGGTGATTGGAGGGTGATCTCCAGCATCTTTGCCTTTCTTAGGGCGATTGATTCCTGCAGCAAGAATTTCTCTCACATCATCACCCCAATCAGGGTTGCTCTGCTGCTGCCGCAATACCTCCCTAAATAATTTACATCTATCAAGTTAAAGATTTTATTACTTAATACGCACCCTAAGTCAAAGTTTTCAGGGTAGTGCGTAGTCTCCGTGCGTGGGTAGCTGATATAACCTTGTGTGTAGAGCCTTTCGGCAATTTGCATTGCATGATGAGGACCCATTCCTAGACCTGAACTGGCCACTCGCATCAATTCTACGGTGTTTAGAGCAATTGGGCGCGGTTTTGCCTTTTCTTTTACGTTCACACTTGTTACCCTGTTAAGATGGAAAGAAATAGTGATGATTTATTCTGAAAATTTGATTGCCATTAATCTAACTTGGCCTCTTTGAAGTCTTTGACGTGCATGAGAAACATGGTGGCAATTTCTTTCTCGAAACAACGGACTCGTTCCCAATCAAGCACCACCTCCTTTGAATCACTGGTCTGCACAGTCACCTGTCAAAATCATTTTATATCATAATCCATAATCTGTATAGATTTTAACTAATAAAGAGGTATATCCTTAAATTCAAAATATTTTGTTAAACATAGGTGGTAATGAAAATCAATGCAATTTTCAAAATTATTTGTAAACTTTCTGTTGATTTTGAAGCAACAGAGATTCAACAATAATCACAATAATAATTATCAAAAGGCCCTCTACTCTACATACAAATTTAAAATTTACATTTACTTACTTGCAAAACCCAGTAAGGTTCAGGTTTAAATGTTTGGATCTCATCATGTCGCTGCACACAGAATCCCAGGGTTGGTGTTTGGCATGGACCATATGAGATCAGAGATGCATCCAAATCTCCATATTTACCCTAATTATCACTTTAATATATCAGCATACAAAAAATGTAAAAATATGTACTTGGAAAAAACGGGTCTGAAATCGGGTGAAGGCGCAGCCAATTCTCAAATCCAATTCTTGTCTAGCATCGACACTTTTAGCTTCGTTCTCATTTGGCTTGCCAAGGTTGTTCATTGCAGCTTTGATGTCTTTTTCAGTAATTGCAGAAAAGTGGGCTCGGTAAACATTCTGATAAGAAATTTTTTATAGAAAACTTTTTAAATTAATTTTCTGAAAGTTAATAATATTACAAAATCGGTAATCCGCATGCTTTCCCTGACGGAATCTATGACTTCAAAGCAAATGTTTTCTCCCTCCTTGTCACAATCCAGCCAGAGGATTAAGTAATCACAACCCTTTGCCTCCTTGGACAAGAACGCCGGCATCTTCAACTTAGTCACAGCTTCCTTTTTTTCTGTTGGGCAATGAAATAACTCTGCCTGCAAATGAATGAAAATAAAAGCACAGATTAAAATATATTTCACTTAATCCATCTAAGCTAAAAATTTACCGGATCAACCCTATCCCAATTGTTGAATTTGCCGACAAAGTCCAAACTCATGACATGGCCGCAAACAGAGGTCATTAAGAAGTGAGCACTTTCGCCTTTGAATGGCATGTTCCACTCATGAATGGAGCAAGCACTGTTGATCCCTAAATATTTATAAATACAATGAATATATTCTTAAATGTGTATAAAATTTTATTTGAAAAATATGTACCTTTCCTAGTTGTGCTCCTTCCATTGCTTAAGATGTTTGCTAATGAGGCAGCCAAAGACGGCTTCTCAGCGACCATCAAAACCCGCTTCATCTTTAGTATTGCCTTAAATTTTTGTATACTCAGGTTATTCACGTATATATTAGATTTTTACAAAATCCTATTTGCAAAAATTGCACTCATTTTGCTATAATATAGCAAAATATTATTCTTTTTCAAACATATAAACAACAATAATAATCACCACCTTCACCTATTATGGATCCACCCCTTTTTAGTGTGCTAGGAGGTTGCACCCTAAATCCAAGGAGGTTTTCTCCCACTTCTCACCCTCCCATATGACCTGACTGTTTATGTATATTTTTAAATCTTTGCAAATTTGCAGCGAACTGAAACTGGACGACAGAGAAAAACACCAAAAAGGTAACTTCTTCTTGACTTATGTAATACCCTTAAGTATATACCTTTCCAGGCCTTTCGAGCCCTCTTCCCGCTTTAAATTTAATCCAGACCAGAGAATATTATTTCATGTTATGTAATGTTTCAGCTGCTCTGCAATAAGAGGCCTCTTTGCGCGCAACATGAGTTTCAGCGTAAATTTTCGACATTTCCTACGCTCAGGGGCTCTGACTGCTGCTTACTGTAGTCGTACGAAGTCTGCAATTCACGGGCCATCATGGGTGCAATGTCGACAGTTGTCTGCCATCCGCATGTCTCCGAGGAAGAAATTTTGGCTCTACGTCTTCATAGGAGTTACCGGAGGCGCGACTGCGGGAGCCGGCTACACTTTTTATCAAACCCAACAGGCCCGCATCCCGATTTTAAACAAGGGCACTGGATCTACGGGAGCAATCCTTCAAAAATTACCTGACATTCCTCCATCTAGAAGGGTATAATTTTATGTCTACGGTGTAGTAGTTATTTTTAACTTAAAAAAAAAGACAACTTATCTTCATAGATCTGGTTCTTCCAAGGTGTATTTTTTAATTTAATTAAGTGCATATTTTTTTTTTCTTTTTAGATTGTGTCTCCAACTGACAACCACAACCTTCATCTCGTCCTCTTCCAGTACCAGACATGCCCCTTTTGCTGTAAGGTGCGCGCTTTTCTCGACTACCACGGCTTTTCTTATGATGTGATCGAAGTCAATCCAGTTATGCGACAACAAATGAGATGGTCCACTTACAAGAAAGTTCCTATTCTTCTCGCCAAAGTTGATGAAGGCTACCAGGCAAGATATTAACTAGCAAACCATTTATTTATATGTGAATTTGTTGTATATACATATTTTGTAAAATAATCACACTTTCACAATTTTTCCCAATAATTCCCCCTTCAATTTCACTCAGTAACGCTTTTTTTAAATTCTAGCAAATGAATGACAGTTCTGTGATCATTTCTGTGCTCACGTCATTTTTGCACAACCCGAAGGATGGCCTCTCTGCTGCTCTAAGTTTCTATCCCAGCATCGACTATAAAGACGACGAAGGGAATGTGAAAAGTGAAGTGTTGAATAGGCATTTCCTCATGTTTGGAGAAAATCTGCCAAAGGATAAAACAAAGGAATCCATAAGGTATCACTCAAATTATTTATATATATCATAAATTTATTTTATTATCATGGCAGTGAAGAACGGAAGTGGAGAAAGTGGGCTGATGAGGTTTTGGTGCACACCCTATCTCCGAATGTCTACCGTACAAAGGAAGAAGCCCTGCAAGCATTTAACTGGTTTTCAGAGGTTCTTGTTTAATTTATGTACTTATTTAGACGTTTGAAAGTTTAATTTTAGGTAGGCGACTGGGAGAAACATTTTAGTAAATGGGAACGCCTGATAGTCATTTACGTAGGGGCCATGGCCATGTGGATGATTGGCAAGAAACTTAAGAAGAGGTAAACCTCACAATTCAAACAAAATCCAAGTGACTTAAAACATTTTTGAATGATTTCAGACACAACTTGAAAAATGAAGTGCGCCTTAGTTTGTACGACGAGTGCAACTTTTGGCTCAAGGAGCTGAACCAAAAGAAAACTCCATTCATGGGTGGCTCACAACCGAACTTGTCAGATTTGGCTGTATTTGGTATTTTAAACAGCATCGAAGGCTGTGATGCTTTCAAAGATTTGGAGACAAACACAAAAATAGGCCCTTGGTACTATGGAATGAAGACCGCTATCAAACATCGAAGTGGCGAGAGGCTTCAGTAGTAGTGGTGGTTTAAAATAATGAAATAAATTTATGGACTATTAGAAAGAGGGCAATCGAGGCGACTAAAATTTATTTAAACCATGGAATTCTTGTCCTTGTTTTGTTTTCAATGAAAAGCCCGTGTTTATCAATTTAATAAATTGTTTGTGTTCCATTTGAAAATTCAATTAATAGCAATAAAAAAGAGAAAAAAATTAAAAGCATGTAGGTGAAATGGCGGGGGTTGGGTTCTTCTGCGTACAGTGCACTAACTATGGAAAAAAGAATAGTTTTCAAGCAAATTCGACACTGCAGACGGAGTGTCTTCAGGCGGAATAGAGCGGAGGAATGAAGAAAGGTGGCTGGCTGCCTTTCCTGCAATGTGCAGCATTTTGCAGAGCAATGTGTTGTGGGAAGAGAAAGTGTGGGCTCGAAGCGCCAGAGGGTGCCTTTCAATATTTAACATTTACTTATTTTTTCCCTATTTCACCATTTTTAATAATAATAAAAAAATGCAAATATGTAGCCCTCAAATTTCACCTACCCTTTGATATTTTGCTAATTTCACATTTTTTTACAATTGCATTTTTCGATTGATGTTTAATAATTCAAACATGTTTTATCGGAATGATTTAGGAAGAAAATAATCGTCATTTTTTTACAGTTTATTTTTAATACATAAAACAAAAGGGCAAAAGCAATGAAATTACTGTTGCTCTTCCTTTTGCAGCATTAAAAATCAATACTTTACACTGAAAATTGCAATACCCAGCAATACCTAAGATGTATTTTACATTAAAAAATATTACATCCTCCATTTAATGTATTTATTCTTTTTAACACAAATTCATTTTAATGTTTGAAACTTGTTTGAAGAAGTTGACACTCGAGGAGATGATCATGGAAATGAAGATTCGGGCTTTTCCTCGTTGCAAAAAATTGTTTTTTATTCAAAAACAAACGGCTCTACCAGTTTCGGTCACGGTCTGCGACCCTATTTCATGAGCAAACGCGCTGCTCGCTGACTAATACAAGAATTGTATTAGTTGCTCATGAAATAGGGTCGCAGACCGTGACCGAAACTGGTAGAGCCGTTTGTTTTTGAATAAAAAACAATTTTTTGCAACGAGGAAAAGCCCGAATCTTCATTTCCAATGTTTGAAACATTAATCGAAAGGCAAGGTTAAACGTAAAATGCACCGAAATGCACATTCAATTTCAAATAGAGCCTTGCCGGTTGCCTAATTTTGCTACCTTGGATCCCCATGGTCTTCTGACGTGACAAAGTTCCGGCTCTTGAACTCCAAAATAATTTTTTATCTTTACTCATGCACTGACTCAAAGATAGGCAGGATTGAAAAATTGATCCAGATTTCACTTTTAGTACCATAAAATAAAAATAATAATCTATAAATATTATATTTTATAAATATTGCCATATGCCACTGGCCTTCAAATAAATTCCCAAACCAAAAAAGTACTCGAATTAGTGTGAGATAGGAAGGTTGCGATCTCAAGTGCACTTTGTTGTTGTTTAGTTCAGGATTACAACAATGCTGCTGACTGCGATCACAAAATTTAAGACCCTGCACCCTGCCTATCTTTACATGCACTTTTTTTTTTGCAGAGAAGAATAAATAAACACAGGTTTCCAATTCAGATTTCAGCTGGCAAATTGGAGGAAAAACCTTACAATTTAAATATTGGAAGGAATGCTTGACGGTATAAAACATTGAGAAAAAATATGATAATTATTCCAACACTTCAAAGTAATATTTTTCACTTTTTAGTTTAATGCATGATGGATAAAATACGCTTTTATACTTTTTGGTTGGATATCAACACAACGTACAATGTGTCTCTCTAAAAGTGTGCAAGTAAAAACACAATTATTTTATAATATCGGTGCTACATAAAAGCTCAGATTATTTTATATGTCGTCACTGTCGCGGAAAATTGTCCAATCTTCCCCTTCCACTTTCCCGTAAGAAACAATGCCATATTTGGGCAAGGCCACACTCAAGAGATCCGACAATTTTACACAGCAGTGACGATATGCTTTAAGCATTCAAGCGAAGAAGAAATGCAATAGTCGGGTGATGCCAGTGAGGCCACACTTGGAGATTAGACAATTTTTAACAACAGTGACAATAACGCTTTTGACAATCCAGCGTTAAGTTTGTGGTTCTATACCAATTAGCAACCACACGGGGGCAAAAATGCAATACACCACGCTTGTTGGGTTACAATATGATAAAAAAAAATGGCACCATCATGGAGTGACTTTCAAAATTTCAGTGAATGAGTATCAAATGGTAATAAAGAACAGACCAGAACTAGACTAGAGACATGATGGCCTCATCAGATGAGGACTTGTACGGCCATTAGATGAGTTAGCGAGTGGGTGCAGATCTAGGGTTGGGTGAGGGACGCTGGCTGCCGCTGAGAGAAGTGGTGCTGCCACTTGCCACTATTGTCGAGGTCACGTGATTACGCTCCATGGACTGACTAGACAGGTGAAGTTAAATTCTTGTTTAAAATAACAATTTTCACTAACTACTAACATACCTTGAGAATGTCTACACCAGTCATGCTCTTGACCAATTCGGGCACGCGAACGACGATGTCCAGCACTTCTCCTGTCAACTTAGCGGCGCCGATCTGGCCATTGCCGGAGGATACCATGGTCACTTTCTTTGCCTGGGACAGAGGGGCAGCGACCTCAGCAGCAATCTAGAAAATTAGATGGATTCAATTTTAAATAAACTTATTAATTTATTCAATTGCAGAAAAGGACACAACAGTTTTTTTTATCAAGCCTAAGTCAATTATAAAAAGATAACTTATGCTAATTTTACTAAAATTAAACAGGGCTTGTCCCAAATTTTAAATATTCATTTTCCATACCCTCTAACTGATTTAATAAAAAATAAGATTGTCTCAAAGTAAAATTTAAGCATTTAGCTCTGTGGAATTAAAATTTATGATACTAATTAGATAATTTTTTTTAAATATTCATTCTGAAGGAAAAAAATGTAATAACTAAATAGTTAATAGTTATCTGACCTTGGGCAGGGTGTCCAGGAGCATGTCTACCATGGCCGCCTCCTTGTATTCCTTCCAAGCATCAGCTTTCTTTGCCATCTGCTCAGCCTCGGCTCTCGCCTTAGCTTCAATTGCAAAGGCCTCGGCCTCTCCACGAACTCGCACAGCCTCTGCATCAGCCTCTGCCTCTAGGATGACGCGGTTGCGGTTGGCCTCGGCCAGCTTCTCCAGGCGATACTTCTCAGCCTCAGCTGGCCTGCGAATGGTAGCTTCCAATTCGCGCTCGCGACGCATCATCTCCTGCTCTTGGACAGCAATTTCTTGCGTACGCTCCACAACCTATTTATAAATATATATATAGTAATTTTAAAGGAAAAGTGTAGAATTAAATTCCAATACTCTCATGCTGGAAGTAAAAAGGTAAAAAATTCAATTTAATTAAATTTAGTTGAAATCAGTGTGTCAATTTCATGCATAATAAATTTTTATTACTTTGATCTGCATCTGTTCTTCCTTGATCCTCTGCTTTGTCTTTGCTGCCTGGAGTTCGTAAGCGAGTTCGGCCTCGGCTTTCTTGGTCTGCACCTCTACGTCGTAAGCTGCCTTTTTCAGCTCAAAATCCCTCTGCGCCTTTGCAATTTCTGTATCGTTGAGGAAGCGCGAGGCCATGCGCTCCTCCTCAGCAATGGCCTCCTTGATCTGTGCATCCTTGCGAGCCTCTGCTTCACCAATTCGCGCGTCTCTCTTTACCTCGGCTGTTCTTGCCATGCCCAGACTTTTCAGGTAGCCCTGAGATGAATAAGAGAATAAATTTCCTATCCAAAATTTTAGGTAATATGCAAACTATATGAAGCTATGGAGGTGAAGCGATCAGGCTTTTTCCTTGTTGTAAATGTAAAAATTGTTCTTATTAAAAAAACGGCTTTACAGATCTTGGTCAAGGGGGGCAAATCACAACTCTTGTTTGTAGAATATCGTTTGCAATGTTCCGTTAAGGTTAATATTAAAAAGTCTAATCAAATATTAATTTATATCCCACAAATTAGTTGCTATAATTTGCCCAAAGTCCTATTATTTCATGAGACGTTTTTTTTAAACTTCAGCATAAAAGAGTTAAAACGAGGAAAAAAAGCCCAATCCCTTCACTTCCATGATCTGCTCCTCAAGTGGCAATTTCTTCAAACAAATATATGCAACTATTTTGCTAATAGCGTTTTGTTCAGAAAATATTTTTTAGAAAAACCATACTGACATTCTGTGATAAAAGATTCAAAAGATTGGTGCAATTTCCAAATAATTTTTTGGCAAAAAGGTGTAATTCATTGGTAAAATTCATGCTGCTCAGAGTAAAAGACTCACCTTTGCTCCCTTGATTGCAAATGATGAAATTAGAAAATATTTTAGCAAGCTCAAAGGACTGAATGCATTCATAACAATAGTATTTAACTTGATATAAACAACAATAATTACATGGACCTCTAAAGTCTTTAAAATTGAATAGGAATGAAATATTAACTGGTGGTCTGCATACAGAAGAACATTACAGGGAAAGTGTCTAGCATGATAATTAAGTAACTGCAAAGAATACTAAAAAGAAAAAAGAATTCACCTCCTCATCTCGGATGTCTTTCAGCGTGTACGAAACGACAGTGATGCCCATGTTGACCAAATCAGACGAGGCCACCTCGAAAACCTGCTTGCTGAACTTCTTGCGGTCTTTGTAAATCTCCTCGACAGTCATTGAACCCATGATAGCTCTCTGGTGTCCCTCCAGAGTCACCAAGGCAATTTGCTGGATCTCCAACTCTGGCTTTCCCAAAAATTGCTCGCAAGCTGCCAAAAGCATTTCTTCGTTCTGGCCTTGGATCTTCACCTTTAAATTTATTTGATTATTAGTAAAAAATTAAACAATAACCACGATGGAGTAAAAATACTTTTAGATTTTTTTCATTCAAAAACTTATCGCCAGCTTCAGTCACAATTTGCAACCCTGTTTGATGAGCGATATACAAAAAAAAGTCCTCGAGTGCCATATAACTCAAAATAATCTTAAATACCTGCGCGATTCCGGTGACTGAGATTGGAACTCCTTGGCTTGTGTAGACAGTGGGACTTTCTACTTGCAGTGTCATTGTATTCAAAGATATCCTAAAACAAAAAGTAACAAAATTATAAAATATTTTGATCTTATGAAAATAAAAAATATTTTATACCTTTGTACGTCTTGAATTGCTGGCCAAACAAATGCTCGACCTCCAGGAACCAGCAATGGCTTGCTGTAGCAACATCCTGGGGAAAAGAAAAGTATTATAAAGTGTTTTTCACAAAAAGAGCCAATTATCTTTTATTATTCATATCCACATGTATGTACTGTATAGCGTTATAATACATATATAGTTTAAATTTTTTTCTGTGTACAAATTTCATTTTTTTCTTTTATGGTCGAAAACCAAGTCTGGACTGGTCCGCCCTTTATTAGTGGTGCAGGATGCAGAATGCAGAAGAGGCACTCCCCAATTTATTTTAAACACGGAACATAAATTTGATAGAATGCACCGGATAATGAAAACTCTCGCTCTCGTTTTCAAATTCAAATTAAGTCTCCGGTTTTATAGAAACCTTTTGACAAAAACGACTCAATATTAATGGTCGAATATCGGTTTCAAATTATTTCATCGGTCTTTACGATAAAATAAATACGTACTTCGTTATAATTACCATTTATTTATTCTATTTTTTTACTTGTGGGTGTGACTGAATTAAGTTTTGATCGAATTTTGCTTACCCGAGACGACGAGCGCTTCATTAGGGCCGCAAGTAACGAATCCCCACACCATTTTTGTGTTATAATTTGATCCGAAATAGACTTGCTTTCTTCAGCCTCAGACCGTAAAGTACCAAAGAAATCAAACAATAAAATACTTAATTAATTTTTTAGAATAACAGATGATGTCATGTGGGTGTTTTCCAAGATGGCCTTCGACTTATTACGACTGTGGTGACATCTGTGGACGATAGGCAGAAAGAAAATGGCGCCGCCGTCGCCGCCCACCAGAAACTTCCGGTCCTGCACGGCAACATGCGTTTGCGCTCATGATGCTTTTTGTGTGTTGATTGTGTTGCTTTGCTGCTGGTAAAACCACGTGCAGACACAACAAGCCTAAAAATCGCAGACATGGAAGAAAAAGGTAATTTTACACAATTTCGTTTACTCGCCTCCGAATCTAAGATCGTATTCAAAATACGAGACTTTCCGTTCTTAATTCTTAATATGTTCAATAAATTAAAAAGTAAATCAATCTCTTTAATCGCTGATTTTGTGCCTTCCAAAATGACGTTGCGTCGCAACCTGTATTAAGCGTTTCTTGTTGCAATTTCGCATGATCTCACCAGCAGTCTTACTTTTGCAGTGAAAAAGAAAAAGTCCAAGGAGGGCAGGTTCAAAACCCTGGGCGAGGTACATGCCCAATGTGAGTTCAAACTCGAGTCTTCCGACAGTAAGCCGCCGGCGATTGATTCCTCGCAATGGCCCTTGTTGCTAAAGGTAAATATAATTCATTCTTTGAAATTTCGGTGTTGGGTTTATTTATTTTCCAATCTGCATTTATAATAAAAAAAAATTCCAAAACGCTACAAACTTTTTTCCTGGATATCAGGATATGTATGTATTCAAATGTATGTACATATGCAGTTTTTTTTTCAAATAACAATGATCAAAATAAATGGAGAATAAATAAACCTATTATATTTTACAAAAAGCCAGTGTTTTAATCATATAGTATCAAATTTTTAGAATTTCGATCGAATGAACGTTCGGACAGCACATTTCACTCCTCTTCCGTTTGGTTCTTCGCCACTAAAAAGAAGCATTGAGGATTACGTGAAGGGTGGCTACATTAATTTAGACAAACCAAGCAACCCTAGTTCTCACGAAGTGGTTGCCTGGATCAAAAGAATCCTCAGGGTTGACAAAACTGGACATTCCGGCACCCTTGATCCTAAAGTCTCGGGTAACAAATAAATGTAAAACATGATCTTCCTGTCTCTAATTGCGATCGTTAGGTTGCCTGATCGTTTGCATTTCCCGAGCCACTCGCCTGGTCAAGTCTCAGCAGAGCGCCGGCAAGGAGTACGTGTGCATCTTCCGTTTGCACAGTGCACCAGGCTCGAAGAACAGCTTGGTTGCTCCTGGAAGCGATGGCGAAGTTGGTCTCGTTTCCCGCGGCCTTGAGAAGTTGCGGGGCGCCCTTTTCCAGAGGCCGCCGCTCATTTCGGCGGTCAAGAGACAGTTACGGGTCAGGACCATTTACGAAAGCAAACTGGTCGAGTATGACACGAAGCAGAACCTGGGCATCTTCTGGGTCAGCTGTGAGGCCGGAACTTATGTCCGAACACTGTGTGTCCACCTTGGACTGGTGCTTGGTGTTGGCGGACAGATGGATGAACTCAGGAGAGTCCGATCAGGTAAAACTATACTCAGCATTTCTAATCGTGCTGTTAATATTTTTAATATTTTTGGAAAAGTCATTTAAAAGTGTATGTCAATTAAAAAAAAAGCTTAATTAAATTATTTTTAAGAAAAATATGTCTTGAAGACATTAAAAACTATTTTCAATAAATTTTATTAAAATTATGAGAGATTATTCAATTTTCGTTTACCTTCTTTTAAGTGTTTTAAGGTTTGGGAAAATTTAATTATTTTATAAAAATTTTCGTGGAACATAATAATAATAATTTTCAATAAAAATATAATAAATCCGATCAAAATTAATAATGCTAATATTTCTTTGTTTAAATTAGGAAATCAAGGGGAAAATGAGGGTTTGAGCTCAATGCATGATGTCCTTGACGCGCAGTGGCTCTATGACAACGCCAAAGACGAGAGTTATCTACGAAGAGTGATTCACCCTTTGGAAGGACTCTTGGTCAAACACAAGCGGATCGTCTTAAAAGATAGTGCTGTGAGGTTTTATAGCAAATCAATAATCCTATCAACCTAACATTTATTTTTTAATCTAGATTAATGCCGTGTGTTATGGAGCAAAAATTATGCTGCCAGGTGTGCTTAGGTATGATGATGGAATCGAGATGAATGAAGAAATAGTGGTTATTACCACCAAGGGAGAAGCTGTTTGCTTAGGTAATTTGTTCACATTTGGCGCTATTCGAGCAAAACAATTGGAGCAAAATTTATTAATGACAAATCTTTAATATTGAAAATTTAAAATGTAATTTACGCCCCAAGTATAGATATTTTTTTACAATTGGGCTGCATTATTAACTTAATAATATAAGGGCATTTAAATATTTGTTTTCATATCAGGTATTGCCCTCATGACGTCAAGCACCATGATGTCATGTGACCATGGATCGGTAGCAAAAATTAAGAGGGTGATCATGGAGAGGGACACGTACCCCCGTAAATGGGGTCTTGGTCCCAAGGCCCTAATGAAGAAGCAGATGATCAAGCAGGGGCTGCTGGACCAGTATGGAAAGCCTAACGACAAAACTCCACCTAATTACCTTTCTCAGAGCTACCAGGACGTTAAGTATGCTGTCTTAAATGTAATTTAAAAAATTCTATAACAAACCCCTTTTTTTAGTGTGAAGTCCGAAATGAGCGACGCACCAGCAAAGCGCGCTCGGGAGAGCATAGGAAATGGAAATGACGAAGAAACTTCGTCGCCAAAGGAGAAGAAGAAGAAAAAGAAAAAATCTGTGGTAGAAGCAGAAGCCATAGAAGATGAGGTTGTTGAAGAACCTTCTTCGGAGAAAAAGAAGAAGAAAAAGAAGAAAATTAAGACGGAAGCAGAAGCAGAGTAAAGTGGAAGTACTTTTTTATTAAGATTCATGCATCCTTTTTTTCTTTGATTTTAAGATGAAACACTTTGAGAAAGAATTAAATTTTATTACAAGATAAAAAAGTCATTATTTTATTTCAATTCAACCCGTGTAAATAATAATTGTAAAGCGTTTGATCGGTTAAGACTGCACCCATCATCTACGCTGGAAGCTTTCATATTTCGCATTGCCTACCTGACTTGAATAAGCATCTCAGCGCCGCAATATTATATCAGACTCCAGGAGGGGACTAGACCTGAGACAGCCAAGAGCACTTTCACTTGCTCAGCAGTTGCACGCCGCTCTTGCACCTTAACGCATTCCACACAACCGAGATCATGAAGCCTCTGCTGCTGGCCGTGGTGGCCCTGCTGACGCTCTCTGCACTGCTCGAGGCGGCACCGCAGGGTGAGAACGACGTCAGCCCTGTAGAACCTGCATTCACCCTACCTGTGCAACTTGTCGGCTTCCCGGTCATCATCATGGCAGTGAAATTCGCCAACTTCCTGAAGAAACTGACGTACTCTCTCAATCCAAGTGAGGAAATAAGTTTTACTTTTCAATTTTGCAATCAACCAGCGCATTATATATATCCAATCGAGATTCTTTGAATCGTGGGAATAACTGCATTATTATTGCAGCTTGAATATTCAACCTTTATTCCATTATTATTATTGCTTATTACTCAATTAAAAACAAAAAATGAGAAAACTTAAAAAAATGACCAGATACTATAGTATTATTATTGATGAAATTTTGATGTTCATATCTTCTCATTTTCTACATAATATATTCTGCCAAAAAAGTGAAACGCCGCACCAATAAAGAAACGTCGCACACCTTGCGAGCTAAATATTTAAGAAAACTCTTTATGAAGAAGCATCTCGGCATCTCCATAGTTCTACACTGCGATAGTTAAAATTGCGTGATTAAATATTTTTAATACACACCATCAAAATAAATTAATTTTCAATAAAATCCACTCAATTTAAGTGAAGAAAAACGAGCTTTTTTCCTTGTGAAAAATTGTCTTTGATAAAAATAAACTGCTTTCCTATATTTCATGATCATGAGCAAGATTGGAGCACCCAAACGTTTTTAAACAAAAATTTAAATCTCGGTATTAACATTTCATTTCATCCTTGTAGTCACTTGTAGTATTTGATCGCTGACTTTGCTAAAGGTATGCGCTATATAAATTATATTTTGTCTCCTTTACTATTCTCAAGTCAATAAAAAATGACAAAATTTTTTGAAATATATTGGATAACAAATCTCTAATTAGTTTTAAACAAATGAAATGTTCCTAAAGTAGTAAATGGACCATACGTAAGATGTGTTTTCCAGTTGCATAAGCCGTAAATTGAATTGAAGTCTTGAATCGTCGGCAATGCAAGTGAAAGTGTTATTTATTACTCATAAGATCTTGTTTAAAGCTCGCAATATAAGCGGAATTACGACTATGTAGGTGTGTTCTGGTTTAAACGTGTTACTAGGAGTTAAATTCTTATGAGTTTGCCACGGCTTTATAATAAAATAATACAACTTTTTGATAATCTCAAAAACAGTAATGAAATTCAATTTAAAAAAATGCATAATTGCAAAAATCTCTGGCTGTTAATATACAAACGGAGATTTCACGATTTTTTTTTAAATAGACAGCTTTAATCTCAATTAAAAACACTTTCATGGATAATTGGATACGCACATAATTAATGTAAAAGCTGCCTCAAGTATGATTTCTATCACGCGCGTGTGTGAAAATGAAGAAGAGGAAAATTGAGGCAAAGAGAAAGAGAAGATTCTTTTCACAGTCACGCGGCGGCCGTGTCTCTTTTTCAATGTCAGAGACATTTGCTAATTGTGCTCATATTATTTTTAATGACTTTGAGCAGAATAAAAAATAATAATTTAAAATAATTCCTCTTTATATAGCATAAACAGTATTAAAAATCATATGCATTTTATGGACCGGACAGTTTTCATAGTTAAAAAAAAAGAGTTCAAGCAAATACTTTTTTTAACTCAACGTCAAATCTATACAAAGCAGTGGTTTGTCAGAAAGGAAATGAGAGAGTGCAAATAAAACTAACAAACAAAGAAAAGTTGGAGGCGGGAGAGTGGCGGACATTCATTCAATTCGACTTATACTAAAAAAAAAAATGCCGATCCATTGAGACCGTGAAGAATGTATGCGCCAAAAAAGTGTCCTCAAATACAAATCAAGCACAGTAGTAAAAAGCGCTTTTATTCTCAGCGTCTTCAAGGTTCTCTTTTTAATACATTTTTTAGCTTACAAAAAAACGTGAAACGTTATTGAAATCATATTTACGCCGACACACGGTTTCAATTTAGCTAGGCAACTTAATCAGTTAGGGCATTACAGGGTGAAGAAAATTATTCCCATTTCCAATCAAATAAAAAAAGCCTCGAGTGAAAAAAAAGGAGTTAATAATAGTTTTTTTTAGGCAGATTTGAGGGTCATCAAGTCGATGCAAAGTCTTTCCGGCCTGTGCCTTTAGAGTTGCTGCCACAATAGATTCATTTAGAGAGTTCATTTGACAATGATCATTTATTAGCTGTAATTTCAAATATGCTCTTTCATTGTTTGAAGAAGGAATTTCCAAAATAAATCAAATTAAATACCACAGACGCTTATCATGAGATTTGCAATAAAACAGTAGAAACCATTCATGAGATGTTATCAACAATTTAAATAAAATCAGCTAAAATTGTATAGAAAACGTTTTAGTAGCTTGCAAGAATCGCGGAAACCACTCTGACGAGAGCGGCGCGGAGAATTTATTCGCAAAGATGTTAACAGTGGTTTTAATGACGCTGCGCGTGCCGCGTTGTTACGTGCACACTACACGTAATTTAGTATAACTCGATCGCAGCTAGGATGAGAAAGTGCCAACGCACTTTCGGCATTGGTGCGATTAGGAAAAGGCGATCCACGAAAACTTTCTCGGCCGCGCCATTTGTGCCAAGGTGATCGGAAGAAAGTGAATTTGACGAGAGCAGCGCGCTATGCACAACTGCGCTCTCAAGCGGGGTGTTCGCGCTCTGCTGCATGACTCGAAAGTAATTCTTATTGAGCCCAAGGAAATGCAGATTTTCCTTGACAAGTAATAAGTTATTAAAAAGATGAGCTAAAGCATAAAGGCTCAATTATGTTTCTGTTAAAAATTAATTTTTCATCGTTTTTATTATTTATGAAGGCAAATTTAATCGACAGCGGCGGCTTGATCTTTATCGCGGTGGCTGGCGCAGCTCGCCGTCAATTTGTTTATACAAAAAAAAAATGCAGGATTTTGTTTTAAATTTAATTAATTTTCAAATTTTGGAAAGAAATAATTATTTATTATAGGGCATGAAAAAAAATAATCTGAAAAATAGTTGGCAGCTGGCAAAGCCGTGCGATTTCAGCGGTGGCTGAACACGTACATGGGATTATTCGGCGAACACTTTCTTGGCGCTGAAGAAGCCCATATTCTGTAGCCTCCATTAATACCATTTTTTATTAACTTATTAAATTAATAATAAAAAATAGCAGTTTTTGGGGAAAAAATTATAAATTATGAAAAAAGTATATTGAATCTTCAAAATATATAATTCAATTCCTCTAGCTTCTAATTCATAAAATCTTTATTTTCACCCACAGAAACATACGTTGGTCGAGTTCGCCGAGGTACTTTAGACGGCAGTCTTCTCAGGGAGCACCTAAGAAATAGCAAGTACCAGAGCGATGATCTTGACCTTGCCAACATTGAGCACCAGCTCGTATCCGAGATGGGCCCAGACGTTTGCCTCTTTGAGGAAATTTGCAACAAGTACTCAAAGCACAGCAAAGCTCTGGACTGGGAGGACGTGGTCAAGTAATTTTGATTATATTTGTAATATGAATTAAATTCTAAAATGGGATTTTACTGAATGATTTCAGAGAGTACGAGCACTACGCGGGCAGCCGTAAAAAGTTTTTCTTGCTTAGTGTATTCCTCGGTGAGATTGTGTCATCACCAAAACTTTGCCATCAAATTGCGAGTAGACCTGGCAGATCGTGCCAATTTTGAACTGATTTTTTTACAAATAATACACAAGTGATGAGACGGAAGGCTTTATATATATTATCCAGCTGTGTTTCTACGGTTTACCATTTCAGTGGTGCGCCAGTGTGTTGAATAATCTTAAGATTTGAATAAAATTAATTTAAGATTTTTTTGTAAAAATATGATTGATTTTTTTTTATCAAGTGAGCAAATTAAAATTCCATCGGGTCATTGTTCATCCTGGCAAGTTTGTAGACAAACTCATCGAAAAGAGCAACGCTACGGTTCATGCTGGTCTTTCTGTACTCACGAACGTTGGACTCGTCACCACGCTCTGCATTTTCATCGAATGTTCGCAACTCTTGCAGAAGGATGCTGATAATATATTTATTATTCTCATTTATGTGGCAAAGTAAAAGCGAAAAACTTACTTGATTTTTGGCACGGCCAAAGGGTCAAACTTTGCCACTTGCTTTGGGTTGAAAGGAACACAAACGTATCCAGTTTTGGGGTGGATGCAAAAGGGCGCTTTCAACAAGTGGTTCAACCCAGTGGTGACGTGCGTGTCAAGCCGAGGGTACAAATAGTGCAGCATGATTTCCTCAATCAGAAGGGTAGTTTGACTTCGGCGCCATCTACCCTTTTTGACCTGTAAAAAATTAAGAAAATATTATACAAGTTATTTATAATTAGATCATACAAGATAAGACAACTTTAGAATTTTTGCACATCGGAAGCAGCATCATGAAGCAACAAATATATAAGAAAAAGAAATATATATAATACCTTTTCATCCTCTTGATTGTGGTACTGGACAGTCTTACAAAAGGCTTTCCACTTGTCAGCCGAGTCGCACTTATCCTCCATGGCTTTTTCACACTTCTGTCGCAAATTATCATCAGGCACCAAGTCCAAGAGGTACTGAACACCTTTTGGCGTTTCAAGTACATCTTGCTCATCCAAAATAATTTCTTTGAAGTGCGTTTTGACAATGTCCACAGCTCGTCTGCAATTGAAGGTCAAAGTTAGGGACGCATAAAATAAAATCTAGTAAATATTACGAGGAAGGAGGGTCGAGTCTCTCACTATTCAAACTAATTCGCCTTGTAGATTTTGTGTCAGAGTGAAGTAAGGACAGGTACTGTGCAACACAGCCTCTCTCCCAAGCGGACAAGACCCGTGCTTCCTCGTCGCACACCCAACAATGGATTCCACGGCGGCCGGAGAAAACCCAGAGCAGGTGGTTGAAGCCAAAATCATCTATTTTATTGTTCATAATTATTAAGAACTTGGTGGAGCGTCTAATTAAAATTAATACCTCTGAGGGCCGCGTCCAAGCATTTGACAGCCACTACCATGAACTTCCAGCATTTGTTGCAAACACGGGCTTCCTTGCAGCACGTTCGGACATCATCGTAATCCGTCAAATCAATATCAACGACTAATTCTCTCTCAATTGGAGTTTTCTGTGTTATTCTTTTATCCTTCAGCCTGGAATTAAAAAAGTAAAATTGAGTGCCAAATTTCCAAATTGGTGTAACTTACGAATTACTGTAGACTGCACCAATATCAATTTTAATTGGCTTCTTTCTTTTCAGCTCCTCTTTGAATTCGACGGCATCCTTGAAGCACAAGAAGCGCAAATAAACGTCCCCATCCAATGTGAATGAAAACTCTCTTTTCTCAAGATCGTCATCTAAATAAAAAATTTTAAAACATAAACACATGAAAATAATGTAATAGAAAAAAAATGATCTACACATATAATTTAATTAAATTTAACTCATTAAAATTTGTCGATAATAAGATGTGTACCTTTGCCGTAAGCGAGCCATTTGATGAAGCTTTCGCAGGGGAAAAGTCTGTTGTAATAAAGAGGCAGAATGTCGACCAATGTTTCTTGTTTAAAGTCTTCATTTTCTTCCAAAGCCGCCATAATACCTAAATTAACTTGAGGTTTCGGGGAAAAAGTTGACTGTCAACTTGCAAAAAGAAGAAGCAAAAATAATCTTTCGTCTTCTACTCTACTGACTTTAAGACCAGGTGCAGATGAAGATTTCGATTTCTAGTGTCTAAGGTGTTTTGCTTTTTGTCAGATCACATGTTTAATGTTCATTTGCCGCGCGATTCTACACATGCGCAGTCTGTGCGCAGAGGGTGGTGCTGAGAGCGGTAAAAATAAAAGAACCACCTCCACATAAATTTTATAGTATTGGTTTGTATAAGGTCATATTTCATATTATACGGATGGAAAATTATTAATTGAATTTGTGGATGATGTATTTGGGCAGATAATTCCCAGTGGTACATTAATTTTATTACTAATTAGTTCAATATTATTTGAAATTTATAATAATTATATAATATTAATTATCTTATCATTGCGGACGTTGCATTTTTGTTCATCAAAAATGTTAAAATGCTAGAATTTATGAGATGAGTCTTGATAATTAAGTCAGATAGTGAGTATAAATTTTTTTTTCTTACTCATATAAATAATTTTTGATGTGGGGAAAGAATACAAATTGCAATATCCAATCTGAACGTTCAAGTTTGAAAATTTCGGAAAATTTATTACTTGTAATTATTTGATAAATTCCAAATTTCACTAAAATTAATGCAATTTATTGACATGAAAAAAAAAATAATAATTTAATATCTCCAATTACATCCCTTTAATGTGTAATTATTATGTATTTAATGTGTAAGAATTATTGCAAGAGACCGGACAAAAATTGCAGGTGCCAGGAGTTCAATTTAAACAAGTTTTTATTATATTTATTATTATAAATGAATTCCACCCACTATGGGCATGGTTCAAGGGTCATCTGATTTGGATAAAATTGATTATCACATAAAAATCAAATTTTATTGTTGTAAACCACCACTACGAGCCAATTTTTTCGGAACTGAGAGGTTCATCTTAATGGTTCACAATGCATCATTAATTCTTTTTCTTCTTGGCCTGCGCTGAGGGCCCTTGCATTTCTTGTTGGTACTGCGCAATCAGTGCCTGCTGGGTTTCAGGCAAAGTGGGTGCGTACCTTGAGTACTCCATGCTAAACTCTCCTTTTCCTTGAGTTGATGACCTCAATTCAGATGAGTAACCAAACATCTCATTCAATGGAATCTGCACAAATTTTCATCAATTTCTAATTTATAATTCACTCATATAAATTAACCTCGGCAAAAATAGAAAACCAATCTTCGTGTTTATCAGTGCCAGTGAGAATAGCATGCCTTTTGTTCAACTGGCCCATGACATTGCTTTGGAATTCCTCCGGGCCAGTGATTTCCACAGACATAATGGGCTCCAGAATTTGCCAAACACCATCCGAAAATACTAAAAATAATTAATAGTAAAAACCAAAGTCAAATTATCTAAAATCAAAACTTGCAGTCTCTCATGGCACCCTGAGCAGCAAGGAAGAATGAGTGTTCGCTAGAGTCGACAACGTGGTGAGCGCCGTCAAGCAATCTAAACCGGACGCCAGATATTTTGTGACCAGACAGCAAGCCTAAAGCAAAATGTATGAAGTTTCATTTTAAAATATTCATCATAGTAAATTATTTTGGGATAACTATAGGGCAGGGCATACATTGCACCGCTTTGCACGTAGCAATAGTAAAAATTTGAAGTAGTTTTTTAATGTTCAGATAATAATAAATAAAAAATGATTTTTTTTTCAAAAAAAAAAAAGACATTAAATTTTTGTGAATGGGTCTGAATTTTTTAGCTATATGAATTACAAATAATGTAAATAATTAATCAAAACAAACCTTTTTCACACATTTGCAGAAAACCTCGTTCAATGCCTGGAATAAATTGCTTCGGAACATTCGTTCCCGTCGTCTCATCAGAAAATTCAACCACAGTGTTCTGACTTGGTGGCAGTGGCTGTTAAAGGATTAAAAATTAAGTCAGATAAATCAACACTAAAGTCAATTTAAAATTAAGGTACTTCAAGTATTCCGGAGACTCTTCCAAATTGACCTGAACCACCAGACTGCTTCTTGTGAAGGTAGTCAAATTCCTTTGCAGACACCAAAGTTTCTCTAAAGGACACCTTTGGCCTACCAAGGATCACAGGACAGCCGTACTCACGCTCCATACGCTGTAAGAATGAAGTTATTGTAAGTATTCTCTTCAGCACCATATATGTTAAAGAAATTATGTGCGATTAAGTTTTTCTTTCAGAATCGATAATCAGTGGAATTCCCTGCCAGCTGCATTAAAAAAGTTGTTGGGTTACCCAGTTCAAAATTGTATGTAAAGAATTATGTGACGCTTGAAAAATAATTTTTTTTCCAATTTATGGTGAGTATGTTTAATTTTGAAACAGTACTTTTGGACCAAAACTGCGCCTTTCCTAGTGAATTTTCCATTTCTTACATGACTTGTGGAAAGAGAATAAATTAAACTGAGTGGGAGTAATTAGGATGCACCCCCTAAATTATTTTTGTAATTGAGGGAAAATTCCTAACCTGAGCATAAATTTCCAAATGGAGTTCACCCATGCCAGAAACAATGGTTTCCTTGTTGTCTGGATCATAGTGGAATCGGAAGGTTGGATCTTCTTTCGTAAACCTTGCTACAGCTTTGCTGAAGTTGTCCCTATCCTTATTATTGCCGGGCTTGATCGACATCGATACCACTGGGTCAGGCACAAAAATTGACTCCTGAAATTTGGAATTACATGCATTTCCCTCAGCACCAAGTTTGAAACTTACCATAGCAAGATTTAGATTTTTGTCCACAACAAAAGTGTCTCCGCTGGCACAGTCAACACCAAAAAGTGCAAAGATGTCACCAGCGTAGACCTCATTGACGTCCTCCATATTTTCCGAGTGCAGTCGAACAAGTCGGGCTACTTTGACCTTCCTCTGGGTGCGCACATTGAAAATATTGTCTCCTTTTTTCAGACAGCCCTGGTAGCATCTCATGTAGGTCAGCTGCCCAAACCGCCCAGCTTCAAGTTTAAAGGCCAGAGCGACAAAGGGGTTGTTGCTGTTTCTTGCAGGACTTAACACAATCTTCTCCGGCTCTTCTCTACAAGAGGATTAAAATAACAAAGTGAGGATGTGGAAATAAATGGAAACAATACCCTTGCTTTTGAATGAAAGCAAAATTGTCAACTTCACTTGGGCAAGGCAAATACTGCAGCACCCCGTCCAGCAAGGGCTGCACTCCTTTGTTTTTAAGAGCACTGCCTACCATGACTGGAGTGAAGGTCCGAGCAATACATGCCCTTCTGACAGCAGCCACAATATCAGCTTCTGTGGGAGTTTTCTCCTCTAAAATGTAATTAAATTCCAAATTAATTTATTCAATTAAAAACACAAATGTTTGTGCTTTTTGAACAATTCTAATAATCTGTCGCACCATGGCTTAATTATTTTATGCAAATTGGATTTTTTTACCTTAAATTTTTTAACTGATTACAAATACTTTAAATTTTACGTAATATTAAACCACTACTTTTTTGTAGCACCAAATTTAGTAAAAAAGAGTTAAATACCTAAATACATCATTCCCAGGGTTTCGTCAGCATTCGACAAATGCTCGATGAGCTCGTGGCGCCTTTCTTCAGCTTCTGCCCTCATGAACGGTGGAATTTCTTTTTCCTCTATTTTTTCCCTTTAAATTTAAGAGTAAGTTTTTTCTCTATTAGATAAAATATAGTGCCTCTTACCCATGATCACCTTCAAAGTACAATGCCCTTTGCTTGATTAGGTCAATAACTCCGCTGAGATCTCCTTCCAAGCCAATGGGAATTTGTAAAAATGCTGCATTGTGGTTCAACTTTGTCCTGCATTTTTTAATTATTTATTGAAAATACTAATTCTCAGTAATTAACTTTATTTGAATACCTCATTTGCTGCAAAACTCTATCTGGATTCGCATTCATCCTATCCAGTTTGTTAATGAACGCTAAGCAAGGCACACTGTACCTCTTCATCTGTCTGTTCACCGTCAGGGTTTGGCTCTGGACCCCACCAACGGCGCACAAAACCAGGACAGCCCCGTCCAGTACACGCAGGGCGCGTTCAACCTCGACGGTAAAGTCAACGTGGCCTGTAGATAAAATTAAGCTCTTTCTACTATTCAAATGATATGGTTATAACCAGGTGTGTCGATGATGTTGATGTTGTGGTTTCTCCACAGGGTGTAGGTTGCTGCCGACTGGATTGTGATTCCTCTCTGCCGCTCTAGTTCCATCGAGTCCATCACAGCACCCACATTGTCCTTGCCCCGGACCTACACACGCACAGGATTTTATGGAGAATAAGAGTGAATAAATAAGAATGCTACCTCATGCATTTCAGAAATTCTGCCTGTGTAAAATAAAATTCTCTCGGTGAGGGTGGTTTTTCCGGAGTCAATATGAGCCGAAATTCCAATATTTCTGATGTGTGCCAGGTCCTTGTGCTCGGCGAATTTCGAGTGGCTTGAGAATTTTCTTGAGCAACCTCGCTGGGATAAAAATAAATATTATAAGACTGTGATAAGAACACATAAATGTTGTTTGTAGACTTGAAATTCTGGCCCTTCATCATTTTCCATTATATAAAAAAAATTAGGTAATACATGCAGGTCTATGTAAATAAAAAATAAGACAGCATAATTATTAAAAACATAGTTTTGCAATTATTCTATTTTTGTCAAATTTCTGATGGTCTCTCATCTATGCAATTGAAGAGTTGTTTTGCATCAGAGGGTCCATAATTATATTATTTAAAAAAAAATAAAATTACAGTTAATATGCAGGGGCCAGAAAGTGCAGCAATGAATTTATGAATCGTACGTAAAATGAGAGGGGCCAGATTACATCATACATCCACCAAAAAATGTGTAATAATTCTTACCAAAAATTTTGCATGATTGTTAATGTGGTTGATGATAATTTTTTTAATGGTGATCATCTTGTCTTAATTTCTTCACTGTTATTTTCTCAATCTTTCATTACATGAGGAAGACAGAGAGTGAGACTAAGTTTCTCTTTTTACGAGACCCAATGAGACGAACCGCCGGTTGAACAGTGTGCCGGCCGCCGAGATCTGTCCCTTGCCTGACATGAAACGGGAGCAGCACTATAAAGATAGCAGAATTGGAATTATATTATTCTACTATCTTAAAGTAGCACCAGGAATTAGAAAAATATGATCCTTACCGATCTTTACCTTACAAACAAGGGACACAAGGGTGTTATTTTCCTTATTTTCATCCCTATGGTCGCATGGTCTATGGACATATAAGCGGCTGAATTGGTCGAGACAACACGCCATATTTTGGGTTCACATCAACGCTGAGCAGCCTTGGGTGCTGGAACCAAAAATGGCGTCTCAACCAATCCTCTAATTATTATTCAAATGCACTACAAACCACCTAGCGGTGGGAAACATAACCAAACCTAACTCACGTCCAAGAAGTTTACCTGCTGTGGGCATGCGTGTTGCCCGTAACGCACGGGAAAATAAGCCTTATAAGGGATAATTATATCCCGAGCACCAAGGATCTTTCATTTATAAAATTATTACAAAAGAATAATTATAATAGAAGATCCTTGCCGAGCACCTTCTATAAACAAGAATTCTAAATTTTAAAAGCCATACCTTATCCTTATAGGGGCCTGCCTGACTGCAGCGTCTTTGGTTGTGCCAACAAGGGTTGTGCATTGTTGGTTGTGCATAAAAGGTACCTTTATGAAGAAAATGCTTTTAGGACTGCAAATTTATAATTAACATTCTCATCTATGGAAATACTCAAATTTATAACAAAATATACCACAGCTCCGCAATTTAAAGAGGAATGATGAAAAAACAAATGTCAAAATAATAACCATAGATTATAGTTCCACACCACTATCCACTATAATATTAATTAATAATATTAAATAAATTATTTGACCTATTCAATCTTCCACGTTTTTGCAGAGGAAGAAATATTGTGAAATAATTACAGAGACCTTTCAAATGAAAAAAAAAAATTGAAACTTTCGAAGTAAAAAAAAAAAAATAATAAATTGAAAAATAGTCAGCGGCTGGATTGGCTAGCCAAGCCGTGACTTCAGCGGCGGCTGACCAATTGGTTCAATTTTTAAGACAGAGAATATTACTGTTATTTATTCTTCTTTGTTGATACTAAGTAAGAATTAAAAGAAAATGAAAATAGGGTTAACAAAGCAGAGATGTCTGCTAAAACGCCCGACATCACAAAAGAGACTCGGACATCGCGGTAAACTCACAGTTATGAATCAATGCAATTATACAGGTAAATTATAGAGATACAGACGGAAATAAATCAAGTTTTCATTGCAATACATTTTATTTGTCTCCAAATAGGAGGGAGCCTATATAATTATATAAACACAAATGTACTTTTGTGTCCATCCATATAGACAACAACTTTGCAATCCTATTAGGGCAGATAGGTTTCCTTCCTTTTCTCCATTATCAAATTTAATGCTGAGATTAATATAATAATGTAGAATAATAATCATGTAATAATATAGCAGTATGAATATATTCACTCATGATGTAAACAAACAAATGGCCGTAACTTACGCAAATATATAGTAATAATTATAACAAAGACCCATTATCCCCAAAAGCCTAGTAATTAAACACTGATATTATAATGAATAATAATTAACATTTAACTTATCAATACTTCATCTACAGTAGCACAATCAAAATAAACCACAATTACAAAAATAGTATTATACAAACAGGAACTTTTCAAGAAAAATTATTATTTATGAGTGTGTGTGTGTGTGTATGTGTGTATTTTGCAGAGGTTAAAAATATGTTTCCATTATCGTGGAATTTATATTTCATCTTGGTATTTAATTCAAGTTTTTTTTATATATTACAATTATTATTCCCTTTCATGAATTTCTCTTTTTTGCTCAGGGTGCAAGTCAAATCATGCTACAGACGGACAAAGATGAAGGGAGAATATAATATAATATTTGTTTCAGTTAATTCATCAAAATGGATAGACAACGAAGGAATAAAATTGAGCAAAATGCAGCAAAAATCAATATATTAAATACTGAATGAAGCAAACAATCCAAAAGCCCTAAGTTTTTTTAGCCTGTCTTTGCTTTTGCTACTGCTGTGCAGGGCTGGACTGGCCCATAGGGCGATATCATTGACGGAGCCCGACTGCCCAGTCTGCTGCTGTGTTGCAAAAAAGCAGTAGAATAAATCAATCTGGGATCTACAGATTTTCCTTTACATTCAGAGGATGATTTTGCCCCTACAGAAATTGAACAAAATAAAAATATTGTGCAAAATTTAAGAGTTCAAATATATGACGCACAGACGCAGACAAAATAAAGTAAAATTCAGCTCACTCCCTTCGGTATTAACCAACCTAGTTTTGCTTCTTTTGCTAAAAAATATCAGTTGTGAGGACTGCTAGACGGTTTGAAGGCAAAATGGAGATACCGATTACAGACATTACAGTGCTAGTTAAGTCATGATGAAATCGTTGGACAGTACAAAAATATTTCTCATACCAAGTCCCGAAAAATATTACAGCTTTGGTTTAAATAGTCCTTGTTCAGTCATCAGCACATACAAAAATCAATAGCGAGCAAAAAAAAAATTAACGTCTAGAATTTAATAACTTTCTCAATGACATTTTCCACAAATAAGAAAAGTCTCCTAACGCACATTTTTTTTTTTTAATTTGCCTTGCTGATATGAAGTTTTACCAAGATAAACAAAAAAATGCTAAATTTCCAATAGTAATGCACATGTGGAATTTTTAAAATTGGTAAAATAATTTTTGTTTTAATAGGAACAAATCATATTGATTGGTGTAAAAAAATCAATTTAGTTTGTGTGTTTATATGTGTGTTTTAGGAGACTTTCCTTACAAATTTTGCGAGAATATAACAATAAAAAAATCCATTTGTTATATCATGAAATCACAACCACTGGACACACATTATATTCAACTCGAGGAGTTCCATCTTGCTTGTTCGGAGCAGTAGTATTTTTCATTGTCAATCACTATTTTCTCATTTATTCAATTGTTCTAGAAACATTAATAAATGTGTGGTGCCAACAATAATGAATCAAAGTTCTTCTATGGTGCAGACTCACTGCTGAATTTGTTGTTGTCATTGCACAGCTTGAAGCTTTTTTTTGTCCTTGTCAGTCATTTTTTCTTCTCAATAATTTCAACAATTTTTGTGATCAGTGCAACTTAAAAGCAATCATACCCACAAACACAGTGTAGCGTACACACTTATGTAAGTGAAGTTATCTTAATAATTCCTTTTACTAAGCAAATCACTGGCCTTACAAAATATTTTCTTGGTAAATAATTTAAACATAACAATTTAAATAGCATCTTTGAATTGCACATCAATCAATCAATCAAACGTTGACGTTTTTCGCTCTCAAGTTTAATTCTTATAATTTGAATTCTCATTGTTTTTAGTTTTTTTTTTTCAAATATATGCTACAATCATCATCACTTAAGGCCATGACATTTTGAAAATCTCAGACTCTTGCAGATAAAGCTAACATCGTAGTCACCAAAATAAAATCTTCATATCTTCGAATTCTCTTCTTTTCTTATGTATATCATAATGATTAAGGCTAGTTCAATCGAGTATTTGGGTGCAACCCGAATAATGGAGTGATACATGTGCTTCAGTGTTGATCAGTCCATTCACACAATAACATCAATTTGGTTGCTAGCTCATTCTGACAGCAACTTCTGCAACAAAGACGACTGGTTCGCAGTCCCACCTCCGCGCATTCCAGCATCCTCCTTAAATCAGGAAATTTCCATTTAAATAAATTTCACAATCAGAAAACATACTAAATAATCACAAATTAATCTTTAGAATACATGACTAGAAATATCAACAATTTTTGCAAAATTTATTAATTAAAAATATTGAAACGGTTCAAGGGAGTTGTACTAGGAGAGTGAGATAAATGTGCGAGATAAAAAAAATTACACAACTTCACGCAATTACAATGAGCCACTTGAAGTGGTGGGAAAGAAAAGGTCTGTCTTTATAATATCACATTGCTTACAAAAAAAAAAAAAACATTTTCAATAATTATTAAAGAGAGAGAGAAGGCAGTAAATATATCTTACTCTTACTGAGGATGGACCAGGTCCCATATGCTGCTGTTGCTGTTGGCCAGGGTTTTGTGCTGGCGAATCCCACATCTTGTTACCATTGTCTGGAAAAAAATTCATAAATTAATAATTAAAATTAGGAAAAAATCCCAAAATTGGTCCACTCGGCTCTACTAATCTTAATTGTTAATTTTTCCCCTGAGCTTTTTCAACTTATTAAATAAATTAATAATTTCTCTTTGACGCACCGATTTCAAAATTGATTCCAAGTGCCTGTAGTTCCTCGTTGCTGATAAGGTTGTTGGCCCCAAGCTGCACCATTTGTTGTTGAGGCGGTTGTGGCCTAGGACTAGATACCATAGCCCCTGACTGCATAGGCTGTTGCTGGTGTTGCTGGTTGCCGGCACTCACTGTAGCTCTCAGCTTCTGGAGAACAAACTCGGAAGGCATGCCGTTGTTTGCTCCTGCAAGTGAGAGGCGCCACGAATTAGCCTTTCAACCGATTTTTGCATAACGATGGACCAAATTTGATTGAAAGAGAGAAGACCACAATTAAATTTACACTAGCAGTGCGCAGGAGAAAATTTGATTTGGAATAATGAGACACAAGGAAAGCGTGAGGTGGCTGTGAAACAACAACACTTGAGAAAATGAATGATTAAAAATACACAGACAAACACAGAGATAAAATAGCACAACAATAACATCTAGATATTTTTGTTTCTTTCTAAAAAATTGAAAATATACACAAAGAGGATGCAGAAAACAAGCATGTGGACGGCTTTAGTTTGCGATCAATCTATATATAATCCTCAATGAAATGATACCTGGACCTCGGAGGTAACTGAAATTTTTTTTAAACGTTTTCCGCAGGATAAAATGTAGGGGTGGACACCAGCTTAAGGATACACATGCTAACAAGGTGGGAAAGCAGAAGATTTAGGAGCTGATCTGCAGACTGATGGATGGGTTCGTCGGAGCAATTCTTCGGTGGCGTGTTTTGTGTTTGTGTGAGGAGTGGGCAATGACATTATAGTTAATTCTTAAATAACACCAACACCTTGCTTGATTTCTTTTATAAATTTAGTTTTTAAATTGTTTGCCAGGTAAAAGAAAAAAAGACCAATTAACCAAACGAAGTGACAAAAATCCATTTCCAATGTGCAGAGAAAAGCCAGAATGAGACAGACTCAAATCATCATGCCCAGCTTTTAATTTAAAAATGATATTATGTAGTTGATTACTGAGTATTTGTTAATATAAAAATAAAACAACGTGGTGAATTTTTACGTAAAGGCGTCAAACTAATGATTATTATGCAAAGTAAATAAAACAAAGAATAAACGATTTATTTTACTTATGAAGAATGGTAACCAGTTAATTAAAGCAAAATTAGCAACAAATCAAATATTATGTAAAGACTAGAGAGACAAAGAATAACGAGCAATGAGAAAGAAAACCAAGAAGAGCAATAATTGAGATGAAATTTATTATTATTTAACTAATCACTCTCCATTGCAATAGATGGATTTTATTGAATGAAATTTAAAACCAGAATTATTAAGTGAAGTTTGCATAATTAACAACATGTTTTTATTGCTTTCTTTGCTCCCTCGGTTAAGCAGGTGGAAAACTGCGGATTTCACCACCTCCCTTTAGAAACTTGTGCGTGACCCAAGACCTTGTGAAAAAATGAGAGGCAAAAAGAAAGAGTGCCAAAGAGAGAGCATAATCAGAGAAAGAGAGAATGAACATTGAGTTTGAATCTTAATCAAATGGTAAGCATTAGATTGTGGGAATGAGCGTGTGTGTTGGCGTTTTGTTGACCTCGCGGGTCTTACCTGGCGAGAGCTGGGTGGTCCGGTGAGGTAGTGGAGAGAATGGGTAAGGTGAGGAGGGGTGGTCATAGGAACTGTTCATGTGGTCTGAGGTAGCTGCTGGGGGATAGGGCAAGGGAGAGTGGGGTTGTTGGTAGTGATGCAGGTGTTGGTGATGATGCTTTAGCGGCAACGTTGTTGGTGAGTAGCCCATCATACCCGAGTGGTGCCAGCCTGCAAGATTAGACAGGGACGGCAGAGAGGAGGGGGCACCAGGGTAAGAAAAAAATTAATTGATTAAACAACACAACTCAAGAGAGATGAGAGTAAGTGTGTCTGTGTCTGCGTGGCAGAGAAAAAGAAGATAGAGATAGAGAGAGAGCTGGACAGAGAGGAGCCGGCTACTCGGTCAAGTTACTCTCTACGATTGGTTATAATAAATAATATAATAAAAAAACCAGATAGGGTTTTGCTGTTTGATTAAAGGGGCAAGGGATGTTCAACAGGGCGGTTTGGCAAATCAACACTGAATAATTATATAATAAAAATCTGAAACTACTGAGAGCCATTCCAGCAATCACTAATCTAGTGAAGTAGAATAATAATTAAAATAGTTTGAAGGTAGTAATAAATTCGTGCTTTCACTCCGGCTTTCCAGCTAAGTAAGTTGCTAATCAGAAGCCAACACGCTTACTCTAGCTGCCTGAATCGAGCTCACTTACCAGCTATGTTCTGCTGCTGCTGCATCTGCTGCTGCTGCGGAGGACCATTGCTGGCCCCGGCCGGGTGACTCATGGCACGTTGAAGCCTCATCTGGTGCTGCTGTTGCTGCATCTGCATTTGCATTTGCAGCTGCGGGTTGAAGTTATTCTGCGACCCGGTTGGGAAAATGTTGCCAGCTGCGCCTGCCTGAAACAGTCCAGGCGAGGAGGTGCCTGCTGTGCCGGGAGACGAGGGTGGCGCATTTTCCGGAGTAAAAGGAGAACTTCTCGCCCCGCCTCCAGCCGCTGCGTGCAATGCAGGCCGCTGTACTTGCTGGTTATATGCATTTGGAGCAATTCGCGGTGTGCTTTGTTGAGGATAAGCACCCTGAAGACAAATAGTACATCAAATTAAAGTGACCAAAGTATATCAAAACAGCCAAATTTTTACAAATGATTGAAATAAGAATTCACAGCCACGTATTTAAACAGTTAAAAAATTTCTACTATAAAACTTACGGTTAGCTGAGCATTTAGCATAGGATTTTGCTGTTGTTGCATAGTAAGACGATTGGCTGCCACATTCCCAACATTATCTTGACCTGCCCATTGCTGCTGCGGCATTCCCTACAAGCAAGATTAATTTCACGCATCTTTCCAACTGATATAAATCACCTGGCTGACTCTAGGAGACAACTGCTGCTGCTGTTGCTGCTGGAACGAGGGCAATGCATTACTCGAAACAGATCTAGGCAACGGCGAGAGTCGGGTTTGTTGGTTCCCAAATCTGTAAGAAATTGTTTATTTAACATTACAATATTTAATTCTGCATTAACATTTAACATCAAATTATTGTAAACAAGATGAAGATGAAAATGGAAACATACCCAGCATTAAAGGCATTAAAGTGAGGCTGTTGCTGCTGCTGCTGTGGTCGCTGCTGAGAAGGGCTTAAGGGGTCATAGCCAGGAGACAGCTGACTGTCAGGTACACTAGCAGAGCGCTGTAGAGTGACGTTCGGGGGCATGGTGTTGTTTCTAATGAGGGCATCCATATTGGAGTGGGGGTCTTGCTTTACTTGTGCTGCGTTGTTGATGAGAACCTGCGTTTGCTGTTGCTGCAACAGCAGCCTCTGCTTTTGCATTTGCTGCTGCGAGTTCAGCAGTTTCCGACGCTGCTGCAATGTAGCCTAAACCAAGGAGAATTGAAAATTTGTATAAAGGTATTCAACATGACATACCTGATTTCCCACTTGATTTGCTTGCACAAGCGTGGCTTGAGCAGCAAATTGTGCCCTGGCGGCAGCTGCAGCTGCATTCTGCATAATAGGTTGTGCTTGCACTGGTTGTGGCTGACTGAAGCCAAGTGCTGCCCTTTGTTGAGCTGGAGTGGGGTAAACTGGTGGTGGTTGCTGGAAATTGACCATATAAAATAAATAAACTCTTTCTTCTCTTTTTTTCCAATTTAAAATTTTTGTATTGACCGAGAAGAATAAATAATAATAATAATAAAAATAAGAACGAGTTTTACATGTAAGTTTATATTGAAAAAAAAATGAATATACGTAGAAGGAAATTTACCATTGGTGTTTGGTACTGTGGCGGACTCTTTACTGCCTTCTCACAGAACTGCATGAGCGACTTTTGAATAGCCGATATGGCCAACTTCTCACTCAGGTTGCCATTGGCAGAGCTCGAAGATCCAGACGATGCTCCAGCCATTCCTCCAGAACCCCCCATCATTCCACCAGAGTTACCTAACCCACCAGCCATCATCATAGATCCATCTATTGGGTCCATATAGTTGGAAAGGGCACCCGCATCTGTCAAATAAGTTAAGATTTAGATTTTTCGGAAATAAAATAATTTTCGTCATACCTGAAGACATATTTTCAGGCACAATATCTATGACCTGATCCAGTATGTCTGAGAGCATCTCATCATTAGCCGCGTTTGCAGATGAAGATTCCCAGGAGCTCAGTTCCCCTGTGCTGCTGTTGAGCATCACACCACTCGAGTCAGCAGCCTCCATGCGGCCAGAGGGTCCTGCCGTTCCCTCCAATGGCATTGTCAGGTTGGGCTGCGTCGGGCCCTGTGGGGGTTGTGGAGCCACAACTGGTGTGCTCCCCGGAGACACTTTGGGTGGCACTTGCTGGGAAGCTGGCGACTGCGGAGGTCCTCTACCAACGCCAGAACCACGGTTGGGATTGGCGACATTTGAATCAACAACTTTGGGCAGTCGCTCGTTGGGTGTGGCTTGGATCAGAGATGTGGGAATGGGAGGAATCGTTGTTGGCTGAGAGGGCTGCTTGGCCAGCAGAGATGCCAGCATCTTGTTCCTCTCCCACAGGCGTGACGAATTTCCACTTGAACTCACCTGCATTAAAATAAAAATCTCAAAATGTTCAGCACACTCAATTTTTTTTAAAATTAATTTGATAATTAATGCCATTTTAAAGCATTTTTGTTTATTTCAATGTTAAGTATTTAGAATTACGGAACTAGGAAACACATACCTGAGATGGGGCAGCGATTACAGTGCCACTGGCAATGCCCATCTGCTGGGCAGGCATTGGCGCCTGTTGCAGGCGCTTGCCACCCACTCCATCATCCGATTCCAAACTAGGTCGCTTGCGACCTCCAGAAACAACCGAACTGCATTCTCCTACCTGAGAGGAATTGGCGGTCGGCGGACTGGAATTGCTGAATCCCAGGCTTTTCAGCAGAGAGTCGTCCTACAAGAGAATACAATGAGAAAATTTGGCGGAGCAATGATTTAAACAAATAATTGATGCAAGAATATATAATGCAAAGCACTTTAAACTTGTATTAAAATATATTGATTAAGTTAATTTTGGAGTAAATTAGTTTGTCAAGAATTTAAACTGTTACATTTGCAACAAATTTAAGCGCTGAAATAAAATTATATTTTTTGACATGAAAACTGGAGTTCAACAATTGATTTTAAAATGAAAAACAAAAACCAGCTAAGAAAATTAAATCAACGAATTGCCCTTTTAAATTCAAACAAACGCAAAACAACCCTCAAAGAGAAATAAATTCTTCTACAATATAAAAATTTAGTTGAAATTGGCACCTGTGAATTAGCACCAGAATTCGACCTCTCTGATTCATCATCTTTTAATAGCTGTTGCAGTAATTCGTTCTGCTTCTTTAAGCCTGCCCTGGCCTCCACATCATCATCATCACTTTTCTCATTGAGAAGCTGTAGGAGGCAAACTCAAGCATTAGATGATACCAAGAGAATCGTATTATGTGAAAGTAGGGAGTAATAGTTTAATTCATTTTTTATTTTTTTATCAATCTGGAACAATAAATTATGAAAAATTGGCTGAGAGAAAATAATGCTAATGAAAGCCTCACTGATACTCATGGCCGAGTATTAAACAAGAAGAGGCGAAAAATATGTAACTACTCAATGCGCTGTAGCCCGAACTACAAGTGGAAAAAAATCAGCTGATTTGCAAAATAAAGAGCTATGAATGAATTATTTTTTTACAACTCTGGGGTATTAAAGACGTCGAGCAATAATAAATACAATAGGGGGCTAGCAATGGTGAGTGAGTTTACCTTGAGCAGCATATTGTTATTACTGGTGGAAGAGGCAGCTGCCGAGGAGTTATTACTAGCAATTCTAGCATTAGTGCTGTCCATGGGGGACTCGGTACTTGCATCAAGGTCATCCTCGTCATCGTCCTGGTTTAACAAGCCTTTGAGGATGCGGTGCTTGTGGCCAGGTGAGCTGTTAGGAGGCACCTGCTGTCGATTAGTCAACAGGTTGCGCAGACGGGCTGACTCCTTATTGATTGTTGACGACAACTCCGAATGTCTGGAGCCGGATGGTATTTCCATATCTTCAGCCATTGGACTGCACGGGGTTGAGGGTTGCGAGTTATTGTCCCATGGGTGGTTCCTCGGAGAAGGACTTCCGCGGTCCCAGTTAGTTGTCTGCTGTGTCTGAGTCTGCTGAGGGCTTGGCTTGGGGGGTGGTGGGCTACCCCAGTTGCTGCCGCTGCCTCCGGAGGCAGTCGATGCTGCTGTTGCCGGAGGCTGGAGATCCCAATCTGACGGTGTGTGGGTTAAAAAGTCAAAGTCCAGGTTGCCCAGATCGGAGGAAAATCCGGAAAAGGTTGTGGGCAAGGTTTGAGAGGGGACATGTCGCGAAGGTGGCGAGCTGTCTAATGAGGATGGGGCCAGCGAGGCACCTGTCGGGGTCAGAAGTGGGGAGCTGGGGGCGGCAATCGACGCAGGACTTGCCATGGGACCACCTTCCATATCCCTGAAATAAAGAAAAAATTAGCTAAAAATTTGAATCTCAACCAAGCTGCTTACATATTCATGAGGGTGTGTGTGGCCATAATGAAATCGGGTTCCATTGAACTGGAGGAGCTGGCAGGACTTGCTTTGAAGACCTTGCTTTTGGTCTGGACAGGTACAGGGGGACCGTTCATGTTGATTGCCAGTCGAATTACAGGACTTGTTGACTGGCCAACAGTGAGCGCTTCAGAAAGGTGCGCGGCAAGACGTGGGGCATCACTTGAAATCACTATTTGGTGCAGACTCCTGCCAATCAAGTCCTAAAACACAAATTTCAAACATAGAACCTGCTGCTTGATTTCTCTTCCCAGCTGATCTACTGAAACAATTCTAAATTCTATCCATCTTGATTTTCAGCAAATAACATTTAACAAAGTTCAACCCTATTTCATGAGCAACAACAACAACAAAAAAGCAAGAAATAGCACTGCATCAACCCTTTCTGCTAATTTGTTTTTCAATTTGTTGCAACATGAGATTCGTTGAATTAATTGAGAAAAATAGAAAACCATATGAATATTTCAAACCTTTCCAAGACCAGGGCACGTGTTGAGTCCAATTCCACTCGAGTCGATGCTGAGGATGATGCCATTTCTGTCCAACTTGGTGGTGAACTGGGCGCAGAAGTTGCCCATGTTCTCGTTGGCTGGCATACGTCGTGCGACGCACATCATGGAGGGCCCACCCTCACTTTCGGAAGTCTCGTTTTCTCCTCCAGACTGTCCGGAGCGGTCACCAGGGAAGGGAATAAGCATTGAGGAGATCTGCATTGTTTCGTATTTGGAGACCCGCTGCTGCTTCTCTTCCATAGTTTCGTCTTGGTCGTCCGGCGGTTTGATCAGCAGGCGACAAGTGAATGTGCGGCTGCGTGAGTGTCCGGCGGCGCCTTCGTTTGGCCAGCCTAAGGTCATGGGCAGCAAGCCTGAGCTGAACCGCGCGTGATCGCCGTGGTGCAGAAAGTTGTATATGCTTTTGCCAAGAACGTCGTCCTTGGTGAAACGAGTAAACTGGCTGACTGTGTCCGTCACAAACTCAACTTTGCCTTCTGAGCTGACCACAAAGAGGAATCCTTCCAAGGCTTCGAGCAGAAGGGGGCCAAACACTTGGTGCCCAATCAGAGCTGGCTTGCTGGACGAAACTTCACCCTGCTGCACGGCATCGCCTGATTGGGCTTCCTGTTGCTTGATGCGGCGGATCTGCAAAATCATTCAAACTTTGTTAATATTTTAATTTCCATATAATTATTATTTACATGTACAATTTCTTTTGAATCTTTTTCTTTGAACTGATTTTTAACCATCTTATTCACAGAGTTTCAAATTCATTATTAATCTCTTGGTCTTGGGACCAGGTTTTGTGAGGGTATTTTGAAATTAAATTTCTTTAAAATTACCCAATAAGGAAAATATTATTATTAATTAAATTTATATTACATTGTAGTAAAATATAATTATATAAAGTTAATGCAAGAAAGTTCATTAATATTATTATGGTTTAATTGCATTTTTGCCCATTTCTTTTTTGTTATTAAACAACAACAAAAATAGCTAATATGAACTTATTTTACCTGATTAACGGTTTCTTGGAGTATGGCGCACTTGTCAGGTTTGACAGACAATGAGCTCATGTCCGCAAAACTTGCGCTGATGAGCTCCGCCAGCTCCTCAATGTAGATGTTCTCCTGTTCCCGACGGCGTTTCTCGTTCAGGCACTTGTTTCTGCAAGATCCAAAGAACGTTTGTTTATTTCGTTGGTCACAATGGATTCTCATATGCGAAACTCATAATGGGCAAGAGCGCTTTGAGCGCAGCATAATTTAATGCTAAGGGGAAAACTCATTGTTTGATTTTTATCACCATATTATGAAATTTAATCACATTCTTAAATGTTCTAATTTGATGGGATTCTAGATTAAAGTATTTTTAAAATTCATAATATTGAAAATTGAAACCGGGCGAACCTTGTTGCAAAGAAAACCAGCAGACAACAGGTCGCATTTTTGGGCTAGTTGTCCTTAATATTTTTTTTTAATTTTTCTTTGTTTCTTTGCAACGAGGTTCGCCCAGTTTCAATTGTCGTGGAATCCACCTTGAGCGTTGGCATTAAAAATTTATATTACTATAAAAATTATCTTACTAATTTTGCAATAAATTTTTAATTTTAATTTTTTTAATTAAAAAAAAGAGCGAAACTCACAATTGTTGCTGCTGTTGTCTGCCGTCTGATTTTTTTCTCTTCTTAGTGGTGGCTGCTAGCGCACTGCTACTCATTGTGAGGGGAGGTCGTGGGGTACAGGGTGTCCCGCAGCGAGACTCCTGCTCACTGCCTGGACCCTTCCGATGACCACAACTCTCTTCTCAAAACTGGCTGGACAGCCTGAAAGCACAAATCACACCAGACATTAGTTTTTTGTTTGATCTTTTTCAATAAAAAAAATTTTCATTTTGTTGGGGGTTTCCTTATAAATCAAATATTGCGCATCTCTAAAAAAAAAATTCTAAATACAAAGTCCATTGGAGTTGATTTAGAATTTTTACTCCTTAATTTAATTATTATCAACATCATTTATTTGATTTATGGCGCGGTAATGCAAGACGATAGATACTCTGAGCAAATATTTTTTGCAGTTTTTTTAGGGGTTGATTGGGGGTTAATTTTTCTGAAACTCTCACAAATATATTGCTTGGTGTCTTTAAAGACAAATAAAAAAAGGTGTCACGTTTGAGCTCAAAACAATCTCTGACTCAAGTAACGTTCCTTAGTTTCCTGGAACGGTCATGAGGCCAACAACAACCAAGAAAATCTACATTATTTTCTTTTCTTTCTTATATAGTAAAGTAAGCACTGAGATGTGTTCATATTTTAGCATCAGGCAGTTTTTCCAGTGTTCGGTTGGGAACACTGTTGTTTGTTTTACTCTCTCAGTGAGGCAGGTAGAGTGTCGTCACCACTGATAACTCAAATAAAGCCCAAAATCGTTTCTTAGGAAACGGTTGAACGTTTTGAGCAGTTATCAAGGATGGTTTTATAAAATCCTCATCTGACTGAGCCTACGAGTGTAGTAATGTGTGCCGTAAACGATAAAATGGTCCGGTGTGCACGAGGTGGACTCGCAGCGGAGGCAAAGCGTCGCCTTGCGTGACGTCAGAGGGCAATGACCTAGGCTACTGTTCCATTCGCAGAGCAAACTGGCGCTTACGCCGACCAGCCGGCGGTCGGTCGGTGACTGGCGCGAATCGATAGCTGGCAAGGGCGGGCGCGCCCCTCCAAGACGCCGCCACCCTCTACCGAGGACGACCGGAGAAATTAATTTCCGTCAAAAAATCAACAAATGCTCAATATCAATGACGGTTTTACGCAAAACGGAGTAGCGTGTGCGCGGTCTCTGCTGCAATCTGCTCTCGGCCTCGGGAGCGAGCGTTCACCATTGACTCGCCACCGCGTGCACTCGAGCAGAAGCAGCAGAAAGAGGAAAATTGCAGCAAGAAAATCTCCCTTGGGTGGACCGCCGAATCAATAGGCACGTGTCATTAATACCAGTTAAAAAGTGTCATTTAAAAGGGGAAAAAACGCAGAATAATTACTAGGAAGTTTATATATTTGAATTGTAAATATAAACTAAGAGAAGAACTTAATTTATTAGCAAAAAACGCTTGATTCAAAATTTGTTAAATCTTCAATGGAATCTCTTGCTCTGATACGATCATTCAATCAAATGGCGTGAGACAAGGTGGGAGCCTCTTTTACCGAGCAATTCCAGACCTGGACTAAATTCTAAAATATTTGAAGAATAACAGGGTTTCCCTAATCTTTTTTAACAAGCCCGCGTTTTTCATCACTTCTTTGAATGCTTACTTGTATATCATTCAAGATTGTTGTTTGTTTTTGTTGAATTGCCACATTACATTCAATTTTTGGATTTAAACTGTGGAAAAATAAACCACAGTTTTTGCACTTCTATTAGGCCATCGTAATGCATAGCATAAAAAATGCGTAAAATTTAATCAGCACAGGAATTCAATTCATTTTATTTTTCTCTGTACAAGTCAGACAATGATTATCATACAAGTATCACAAACAATTTGTTAGTATGTTTAAAATTCATATTCTATTCTATAGCTCCCTCTCTTCAATCCAGTTTTAAATGGAAATGGATGAATCACTTCGGAGAATTTATCGCACCTTGAATAATATAACGCAATACCAATAAAAAGAAAGGTTGGCGGAGGGTGTTGCATAAAGTTAATAATTAAAAAAAAAAAGTTGGATTTACTATGAAAATTATGAAGAGAAACGAACTTTTAAAATATTTATTTTAGAAATATACCAAACATCTTAAAACTTAAAATAAAATTGGCCTTGAAATATAAAAATGCATTTTACTGACCTTGACCTTTGTGCTAGGTATTTTTGATCAACATAAAAGTTGTCGAGATTTTAAAATAAAGTCTGGCAGTAAAAACCGCATTGGTCACTTAGAAAAAAAAATAGAAAAATATCAAAATATTGCATATCGGGAAAAAAAAATGCATCTTTTTAATTTCAAATAAAAATATCTTTAAAACTGTGAACCATCGCGCGGATGAGATGTGGAATTTCATGGCTTAATTTTTTTTGCATTAACACAAACAATATCAAAAACATAATGAGGGATATTCACATGCTAAGTTAGCACCAGCAAACCCATAAGAAAGTTAGCATGTGAATATCCCCCAAATATTTAAAAAAAAAAATAGCCTTGCAAACTCAAAATGCATTTTAATGACCTTGACCTACGGTGAGGAAAATTTCATGGCTCTAAAATTAATACGAGCAAAGATATAAAGCGATATAAAGCATGTTTGCGTTTAAAAAAAAAGCTGAAAACTTCAAAAAGTACACAAAATTTGGTCAAAGTAGCTTCTCCTGAACCCTAACAACATGTAAATCAGAGTGGTGTTCATAACAAAACAAATTTGTCCGATTCATCTAAAATCATTCGTGAGAAGTCCCATTTATTCTCTGCATTAGATTAAAATATTTAAAATGCTCTTTTTGCATAAATTCCCAGTCACTTCGAGAACGTAAAGAATTTGTTAGTCCATCATTGAGGGCTGCGAGACGACCAAAATGAATTTCGGCCGGGGCGCTTTTTCTTTCAGGGTCGTCAAGCCCTGAAACGACCTGGCACCTGCCTTCAAAGGCTTCAAGCATTTTTCCCTTCCTCTGCAACACTTAAAATAATTTTCAATACTAATTTGCTTTTAATTTAAATCGGCTTCTTCCAAGATCGGGGCTTGAGATTTGCTGGGAAATAAATAAACAAACGACTCAAAACCCCATGTCGATTTTTAATTCAAATAAACCCTCCAATGTAAAATATGTCTACAGAAAAAAAATTGCTGCTTGATCATATTTTATAGCTTCAAAATAAAAAAATCATTTTGGCAAAAACGGCGAAGAGAAAATGAACAATGTATACGCGTAATACCCACATCGCAAGTGCGATTCGTCTATGGCACAATGCAAGAGCCGAGAGTGTGGTGTGCGGTGACCTACTTGGGTTTCGCCGCGACCTCAATTCTGCGTCAGGCCTACCTCGCACTCACAGAAAATGCCTCTAACGCTTTTTGGTTCAGAAAAAATAATGCCGCGTTCAAAGATAGGACTGTCCTTAAGCACCCTCTTTCTAATGCTGGAGCTGTTTCTTAAAAAAAAAACTTGTTTTTATAAAGATCGGTTCTTAACATATTCACACACCGTTCATAACAGAGACTGATTGTCTTAAAACTAAATCTACATTATACTTGAAAGTAAAATCCATTCATTTTTAACGAAATATCCTAAAAAATGACTGATTTTACAGGATATTTTGTAAAAAAAAAAAATAAAAAAATACGATATATTTCAATTATCTCCGTTCCTGTTGATCCTAGAACAAAAATCCCGGTATGGGTGAACTCATTAGCCATTCTTGTGAAATTTTACATTCATTATGTTAAAATGGCGAGATGGTTTTTACTTATTATATTTATATAAAAATATAAAGATTAAAGGCGTGATTTTTGGTGCTCGGATAAGCGATTTACAAGAAAACGTAAATAACTCGATTTCTGTGCGTCAGAGGAAAAAAATATGATATTATTCAACATGAACTTAATTTTTCCTTCAATATTACGACAGAAACTTTGGTGCAAGGAGAACACACAATTATTCAACACGCACTGCTGCTGGATATTCAAAAGTCCAGATTATTTAACTTTTTTTGCCACAAAAGAGGAAAAAGTATGGTTAATTCTTTGGCCCAGATACTTTTAGAGACTTGCGATGTTTTGCCTAATCTTCCTAATTCAGATTGGGCGTCATTTTGTTTACAATTTTGTTAGTTTGATGTTCAATTGCTTGATTAAATCTTTGCAGTGTAAATTTAATTATATTTGATACATTCATAAATAAATAAATTCATACATGAAGTGTTGATATTTCAACTGCTTTCTTTTTATTTCCTCCTCTTTGCGAGGAGAGTTATTTATTTCTTTTTTCAACGCTTTGACTGGCAAGACATAAAACATAATTTAAAAAAAAATCAAAGGGCAGATATTCTGACAATTAGTCTAATTTGCGCAGCCACAGCTCAACAGTAGAGCACCACGGGCCATAATTTAGATCAGCATAGTATAGGTTTCTTTCTGCAACTTAACAAAAGTGCAGCATCGAGCCTTCTGCTGGCTAAGTAAGTGCAATTATTTTTTGCATTTGCAGTCGCGTTCTCTACATTATAAAATCCAAAGCTGAGTGGGAAGGAAGCCGTAGTGTTTTTGCTCGACAAAGGAGGACTTTTTAGTTGCAGATGTACTGTTTGTGCACGTTTATATTATATGACTGCTTTTTCCCTCGATTGGGAGAGGCTGCGTGTGCAATAAAAGTGAAAGTTATTTCCAAGCCATGCTGGCTTGCATTCCTAGCTTGACGGCGGTGGGTCAGTGTCAGAGCCTGCCTGCCTATCTTGGCAACATTTTGTTGGTTTGACGCCGTCTTTAATTTCAATCGGCACTTGCATTTCAAAGGGGCTTTGCGAGACTCTATACCAACAATTGATTGATTTGCAAGTTCACATATTATATGCCAAATTAATGCCACAATGCGGACCAATGATGAGTGAAGCCAATAAAATCTCGGTCATACAAAGATTTTTAAATTGGTAAAAGGAGAAGAAAGAAACTAGCAAAATTAATGTCTGCTAAAACGCCCGACATCAACAGAGACTCGGCCGCCGCGGTAAATCCACGCAAAAAAAAAACGATACCACAAATACATTTAAATCTGATATTACTGGCCCAAATGCTCCTTGCAGGAGAAGGGAAAATTGCTTTGAGGGCAGGTCGCTCCAGGGCTTT